ATGATAAAATACTATGTCTTTGATGATAATATACTATGTCTTTGTGCTAGAACATTGTGTTCATTGGCAAGCGAGCGCAGCGAGCCATGGTTCACTGCGTGAACCACATGGGATTGCATAGCAATTCTCGGGGGTTGGCGAGCGTTAGCGAGCAGGGGGCGGAGCCTCCTAGTATAATATAATATTCATATATATAAAACATTATTATTACATTCAGCTAAAAATGATTATAAAATTTAATTTTAACAATGCACTCCACAACTTTTGCATTACGACTACTTTCTTTTATCTATTTCCTAAGTTTTTTATTTAAAGAAAATATAGGAATACAGAAAGCATCACTATAGTAAAGTAATTAAAATATAAAGTTATTAAAATAAAGGTAAATTAAAGCTTTTAAATTATGGAGAAACTATTAGCTTGTTAAACTAGTTAACTTTGAGCAAACTTTTTTCTGGCTTTAATTACATTCAAAACATTGGTGTGAAATTTCATTTGTATAACATAACGATCTAACACAGTTTTCCTTTGTTGTCAGTGCATTTTTATTGGCTAGAAAATAACATGTTTTTCTACATTAATTTTCATATTTAAGTTTGGTTAGCATCTACGTTGTTGTTGTTGATCTCTTAGGATGATCCGAAGACATGCCATCGCAATTTTGATCCTCTGCGGAGGGGATGTCACCTCCGCTTCGGTAGCCCGACGACCTGCGCGCGAAGTCGAGCACTTTACGGTAGCACAGTTTAACGAGGACCAATACCGCACACCCTCGGTATAAACAGAATCCCAGACCCGTGGGTCACCCACCCGCACACTGACCGCAGCCAGTGATGCTTGACTTCGGTGATCTGATGAGAACCGCGTCTTAACGATCAGTCCACTGCGGGACCTTTTATACATGAAGAAAGATATAATGTTTCTATAATAATATTTGAACTTTTTATATTTTATTATTCATATCTGACCTAATTTCTTAAATTTTTGGAAAATTTTATATTACCTTCATACTTTTCTTAAACACTCTTTATGATTTCAGATACTGTAGATACTAATAAGTTGAAAAAGAAACAACAAGAACTGTAAAGATTTACAATTTTTTTAAGACCAGGCTTTTAAGAATAACTTTTAAAATTGTTCACATTATTTTGTTTATTATTTATTTCTCGGGGGTGAATTCCTACCTACCCTGGTGTTTTCATGACCCTTCTCGCTTATTAGGTTTGTTTTCCATGTTCTCCGTTTTATTTTTGCATCGGGCATAGTTTCAGTTTAATTTTATTATTGTGAGTGCACAATTTTGTAAGTTTTTTGTTTTTTAACAAAATGCGTAGAGAAATTAAAATTGGTGAGTCCCTTGCCGTGGTGGCTTACCGGAGAGAGTGATCTAATGAGGTGAACCGGGTTCGTATCCTAGCGATGTCTGATCGATTCGAATTCCGCATCCGGCTCGCTCCAACCACGGTGCTGACGTAAAATATCTTCAGTGGTAGATGGATCATGGGTTAGAGTTCCTTTGCCGCCAAGTTAATTGTGGGAGGTTTTCCTCTCTACGTAAAGCAAATGCCGGTTAGTTCAATCAAAAAGTCCTCAACGAAGGCAAGTTTCTTCCAATACTTGATTCAAAAGTTCTATTGTCTTCTGGATTGGGTTCAAAATCACAGGGCAACGGAGTTGAGCACTAGTAGTCGCAAACCCAAAATTGGATCGGCTGTTCAACAACGGTCATAACGTAGGAAATAAAATCCTCTAATTTGACTACATCAAGATTAGAATAGCTAATGCTCTAAAATGATGTTATCTAATTCTTCTTAACTGGAAGTAAACAACATCGACAATTAATTTTGTTTATTTCAAAATTTATAACTTCCTTTTAAAAATACAATAATGTAATGGTTAGAAAACATTTATTTTTTAGTTATTATGATTTATAAGAAGCTGTGCGAGAAGTCTTTTCAGAGTGACTACAGAGAGGGGTGCAGTTGGTCGCGGGACCATAATTAATGTAGCCTTATTAGTCACGGGGCACGCTCTTGAGAATAAGCGCAAACGCTATTGTTAAATACAGTAACACTGAGTATTTTTAATTTTTGAGTTCCCTATACCTTTTAGCTTTTGATAAATCTCCTCAAATGCATTTGTTATCTAAATCGATTAAAAGACTAGCAAGCTTGTAAAAGAACAAGCTTATACTCAGTGACGTACATAGGGGGATGCGCTTTATCATATTGGGACATTGTATACACTTACCACAATGAAATGAAATTAATCTTGAAAATACGAGAAATACTCTATAAGTCGTTGCTTTCGCAATAGAATTCCAAAGCACGATCACTTGGATTATTTAAAAAATAATGGACACAAATACGCAAATAAAGAGCTACAAAAGTGATTACTAAAATTCCAATTTCATGCATCATAATTTTGTAGTATTAAAAACGTTGGGATTTTTTAAAGCTATGGAAATACGCAGTGAGTGATCCTGTTCAAAACTTAGATAAGAAGAATGTTAATTTTTTTTTGTATTTTTCGAAACAAATTATAATAGTTTTTTCCCAAATTATTATTACGTCAGCTTCCACCACAGGAGCTGCCACTGACCTCTCAGCAAGAGCTTTCAGGCTGGGGTTGAGCGGTTGCGCATATCGCTATCATATAATGTATTATTTCTGGATCGTGCGCCCTCAAATCTCGTGCGTTCCCCTGCACTGCGAGAGTTTTATTCACGCCACTGATTATACTCTTTCAATGATTAATAGTCCCACAGTGGACTGATCGTTAGGACACGGTTCCCAGTAGATCACCGAAGTCAAGCATCGCTGGCTGGGGTCAGTGTGCGGGCGGGTGACCACTTGGATCAGTCTGCGTAGGGACCGAGGGTGTGCGGTATTGGTCCTCGTTAAACTGTGCTACCGTAAAGTGCTCGACTTCGCGTGCTGGTCGTTGGGCTACCAAAGAGGGGGTGCCATCCCCTCTGCAGAGGATCACAATTGTGATGGCATGTCTCTTGGATCATCCTCAAGGATGTTTCCCAGATCGTCGTCAATAGCTCATTGTGCAGCTCTAGTGCGACGTAAATGAACTACAACTACAACAACTTCAATGATTAATAATGATACAGCATCATTATAACATTACATTATTTGTTTTATAATATTGAAATATTGGCTCAAAATTATTTTACCTGCGTTAGGCTCATTACGCATGTCCTGCATTTTTTAATCGCTTACATGTGCGTTTGGAGTGAGAATGTCTGTGGATGGTGTTTTCGACACTAGGGAGCGCTGCAGGCTGTATGCCGCTTATACTTCCGGGTTACTGTTTCATGTGTATTTTAAAGCCATTTAGCTCACAACGTGATCATTGTGTTGAGATACTTACAAACGTGGCATTTGAATACTTATTACCAAACTTCATCTTGCTCCTTAAACAATATGTTAACACTAACGTAAGATGGTGCACGGCTTGCAACACGAACCAACAGTAATAAACAAATGGGAAGAGGCCAAATCAAGTCTGTCAAAAAAGCGAGTTATTCAAAATCTAGCAACCATGTCACCTTTTTAACAATATATCTCTAAATAACTAAATCAAACTAAGTAACAAAAACTCACCAGAATTACATAATAACATTAATATCTTATGAAATACGGCAGATTTGAGTTCAGAAATTATCTAACTTATTTCTTTTATTGAAAACAAAATTATCCGTTTGAAAATATCGCTTCGCAGAATAACCTGTAGTAAGCAGCTGCAAACTTTTTAACTGGAACTAGAGCAGGCGTGCAGCTCGAGATTGTTATTGTTTACACTTCTACTGAAAACACCATCCATATTCATTGCCAGTATTTCAAGTCATTGCTAGGCAAAACTGATTGGCACAATGCATTTGAGCTGATTGTTAATAATGCAGTAAACACATCTCTTTGAATCACTGCAGTAAAAATAAATATTGTAATTTTTGATTTGGCATCAATACCAGCTGCAATTATTTTTCATGTTTTCGTAAACTTAACTGTAACCACCAATAAAATCAAAATGTTGAAAATCGCGGTAGCGCTTGAAATGTAAACGGTTATGAAAAGTTTGAAGTATTTATACTTTTTCAAAAACAGAATTTAATTCAGAATTAGTGTTCTTATCTTTTGTGAGTTTATTGCATATGTTTATATTTCAAATTATCAATTAAATTTAAGAATCTTAAAGTAAATACTGTTCGTATATAAATTACCAGTAACTAACGACTTATTATTTTTATTGTTTACAAATTTTAATCTTGTTTTATAAAGAATTATGTAAATATCTAACTTTTCACAAACAAAAGCCATTATATGGGAATTCAAAAAGCTTTTTAATTTGTATCGCTTAGAGTTTATTTAACGTTATATGATATGAAAGCCATGCTCTAACGTTTCATAATGACTAGTGCTATTGTTGTTAAAAAAAATTTTAATGCATGCAATTTTCCCCCCCGTTATGAACCCTTAGATTATTAACTATCAGCCTCTATTATTTTTTTTGAAATCTTAAGGCGTAGACCTTTTTGTAATTATCTTGATGTATTTTACACTTAATTACTAATATTAGTATTCTCATAATTAGTTAAGTATTTGTTTAGTTAATACATTTTTCATCGTCTTCTTAAGTTATTTACTAACGGTAATCACTTAAAAGTGTTGATCGAATTTCAAGATTCTTTAAATATGCTTTATATTGAATGAAATATTTAAAGCAATGTTTTGTAACAAATCAAAAACATTTACCTGATCATTTGTTATTGTTTATGGTTATATTTTTCAAATTTTAATGTGAGCTTATCGGAGTTGACAAAATATGCTAGTTTTTGACAGATTTTTCCAAACTGTCTGATTAGAAACCTAAAAAAAATTACATTGAAGTATTGATAAAAATGTTAATACAGTTAGGTGCCAATTATCCGAACCCTTATTATCCAAACGTCCAATTATCCGAGCTACGTCCAAATTCGCCTTTTTTTTTAAAGTTTAGAATACTTTTTAACTTATCGACAATTTTTCTAAATTTAGAAGAATGAAAAATATCCACTACATCTGAAGACCATATTTAATTTACAGCCTTTTTCAGCAGTTTAACCTACATACCCCTTTAGCCCTCTTCAATTGAAAATTATCTTAAAAGAATGCAAGCTTCATTTTGACAATCTACAATGGTTGGAACGAGGAAGGTGTTTATGAATAGACAAGTGCTGAAGTTCTACAATTGAAGGATGGGTAGTTGTCACTTATGGTTAATGATTAGTAATAACAGTGCTTGGAATCTTAAATCTTGGAATAAAATTCTTAACAGAAAAACAAACGAAACTGAAGTTTCTGAATGAAGTTTCTTTTGGGTGAAAAGGTGCCAGGTTTATACAGCAGAAGAAATAGAAGACTGGTGTCGAGACAATGAAAATGACTCAGGATTTAAAATTTTAATTGATGATGAAATTGTTGTTGAAATTTTGAATGAAAATCAAAACTCCACAGACTAAGAGGAAGAAGTAGGTGATCAAGTTCAAGATAGTGGACTTTCTCATATAGCAGCATGCAATTTATTAGATATTGCAATGAATTGGTTAGAATGTCAAAATGATGTTGATCCAGTTCAGTTGATTAATTTAAAAAGAATAAAGGATATGGCTGCACAAAAAGAGCATCTTCTTTGAAACAAAAGTTTTTGCTGGATACTTTTGCAATGGAAAATGAAGAAAAATGTGGTAAAAATCAGTAATTGACAAAAAAATTATAAAAAAGCAGAAATATGATAAAAATAATTCAAATTGAAGAAAAAGTAATACAAACAAATATTTAAAAAAAATAAAGTTTTAAACACGCCAGAGCTATTTTAGATAGTACTGCCAGTCCTAAGCCTAGAAAAAGTGTGAAGGGAAGCTAGTGCATAAATAATAATTATTTAAACTAGAGTTTAAACAACTTTCCAACTATCCGAACTTTTCATTATCCGAACCGCATTCGGTCCCGAGCAGTTCGGATAATCGGCGCTCTACTGTATTCTTATTTTAAATAGCCAGTTACTGGTCATGTGCAAATTCAAATAAACACCAAGGAAGAATAGCAGTTAATGTCAGATTTTTCTAATGTTTAATGGATTGCATTTTTAAAATAAAGTTTAACAAATTAATGTGAAAAGTCAGTTCTACTTGAGCGTTATTGCTTTTTGAGGCCTTAGACCTTACTGCGTTAAAATCCCTTCCTTTCCATATGCAAAACAGTCCATATGCAGTTTTTTTTCTGAATCAGCTTCTTTATGAACATAAACTGTTTTTCAAGAGTTGTTAATATACCTATAAAATAAAAAAATTTAATGCAAATTTTGTGTGTTAATTCCAGGAAAAAAACTCATTATTGAAAAATATTTTAATTAATATACCTTTATATGCTAATTGATGATTTGCTATAAGTAAGCAGAGTTTCCTGTGGGTGTAAAGCAGAGTTCTCCCTTGGAAATAAAACAGGCAGAGTGCTTTCTCTCTTAAAAGGGCACTTAGAGATTTGAAAGGGCTCTCGCATTTAAAGAGTAAAAATTAGTCAATATGTATTATTATCTGAGTTTTATCCTCAACAATTTTTAAATTTTCCTCTTATACTATTTCATAGCTGCCAACTACTCAGAAGTTTTCGGATTTGTTCCTAATTTTTAAATCAAATCTGATATTTTTATAAAAATCTGAATTTTCTTAAAATTGCTTTATACAGTCAAACCCCGCTAAAGTGAACCTTCAAGGGACCAAAATTTTGGTTCGCTATATCCGTTTCTCAAAAAATTTAACTAGTGGTTTCCAAACTCCTCCTTTTTATTACACATTATTCAAATAAATGACTGAAAAATATTATGTAGCAGCAAAAAATGTGTTATTTTTCATTACTCTTCTACTGAGAACAAAAAGGAGTTGAAATGAGGGCCTTATCAACACATATTAGTGTCCAACCCTTTGATCAATAATGAATAGTAATTTCTCATTCCCTTTGACAGAAAATGCATATTGATCTGACTGACACCTTACAGGTGCATCGTCTGCCTGGGTTGTAAATATCTGCTTGGTTTGTTTTAGGATGGGAAAGTGAGATAATAGAAGCAAACAAGAAAAAATGCGTTTTGCTATTGGTTCACTATATCCACAAAAAATAACATTGCACATGTATAGCAAGGCATGGGACCGAACATTTCGTTCACTATATCCGGGAGTTCACTATAAACCGTGTTCACTATAGCGGGGTTTGACTGTATTTGCTTTTAAACCAGTCTCTTGTTCTGATCGCCGCAAGCACGTTTCTGTGATTATTGTGCCGAAGTAATTTTTAGTAGCTTTTTATTGGAAAATACTATTCCAATAGCTATTGCTGATCATTTCACTAAATTGATTCTTAAACAACTATTATTATTTTTCAAAAAAATGTATTGTAGTATTTAAACACTTGCATCAGAAATATTTGTTTATGATGTAGATTATTATTTACCTGTGTTTTATAATTTGGAGAAGAATAATTATATATTAATAGGTAATGGTTGTTTTTAAATTATTATACTGGTATTCCTAATTATAAAATATTAATATTATAAATTTCCCACAAAAAGTAGTGTTTGTAGTTTTGTTTTACTAATTTACATAAGATATTTAAACATATGTCTATTAATGGTATTATTTAATATTTAAATTTTTGATTTACTCTCGTAATTGGTGCGTATAATTTTGTTGCATATAGTATTCCTAATTTTTGATTTCTAAGGTTGGCAGCTATGCTATTTTATGTGTATATATTTAAAAAAATGTAATTCTCGCTTATCAAAATAAGAGAAAAATTTGTAGTTTATGAAAACAAAGGCATGGTATTTTTTTTTCAAGAAAAGTAAGCCAACAAAAAATGATTAATTGATAAATAACTTGAAAACTTTTCAATAATTTAAACTGAAAATTATGAGAAAAATGAGCAGTTAAAACAGGTGCATTTTTTTTTCATCAAAAAGGTATTTGTTTTAAAAATAGTTTTAATTTTTAAAATCATTTAAAAAGTCATTAATATAATCATTAATCATTAAATCATTATCAACCAGTGTTGGGTTTTTGCTGTCAAAAACTGGTTTTTGACATGACAGTGGTAAAAACCGTGTTTTTACTGGTATAAACTGTCAAAAACCTACTGTTTTCTTTAATTTATGGCATATAGTGGACAACATATTATTTTCACATAATTGCCTTTATAAATGATAGTAGTAAATGATTGCTATTAATTTTGCAACTATATACATGTCTTCTTATAGAAGGATATACATTCATACAGAAATATTGAAACTTTAAAAGGATTTCCCATCCTTTTTCATGTCTCATTTCTGTGTAAAATATGGAAAGCAAAATTGATAGGAAAAGTTTATTTTATGAGGCTTTCTTTTTATGTGTACATGTGTTTCTCATAGCAAGATTTTAAGAATGAAAGTAATCATTCTTGACATTCTTCAGTGATGTAATATACCAAACAAAATGATGCTTGGAAATGTTGAAATTTTTTTTTAGTATCCTAATATTTTACTTCAAATAGTATGTTTTGATATATTCATGGTTGGGAAAATGCAAGAATCTGTTCTTAAATATTTTTTAGCAACTTTTTTTCTAATTTTATTGCCCAAAAATGAATTAATTTTAAATTCTAAGCAGTTAAACTCAAATAAAAATAGTTTTACCAAAACTATGGGTTTTTGACAAAGGGGTTTTTGACATGACGGTAAAAGCCGTCATGTGTCAAAAACTTGCCAACCCTGTTATCAACAATCCTCTACCTCCTAAAAAAAGAAACTTAGAGAAATTTAACTAGTTGAGAATTATACTAATAAAGTAAGTATTTGCAATAGTAATCAGAATTAAACCTATAATCACAATTAATTTTAAAAGTGTTTGATTAATTCAACAGTGAATTAAGGGATGGCAGCTCATTTTTACAAAAAGGGTAAAGATGGCTCATTTATCGAGATCAAAGGGCAAGCAGGGCAGGCTGCACTTCAAAAAATGTTTAAATATAAGATTAATATATAAGAAAATAATTTTTATAAACAATAGAGCAAATATTTGTGCTAGGCTGTGAAACAAAGCCATTAAAACAATTTGAAGAACTTTTTGAATTGGCATGAGCTTACAGATAGTCAGAGTTGGCAAGGTTTAGGACCAAATGGATTAATTCACGGTTTAAATCATCTTGTGCTAAAACCCCTTTTTTAAAAACTGTCGAACTGTTCAAAACTCTTTTATTAAAATTATGATACAATTTTTAAAAAATATTGTGAAAAATAAAAGGTTAATTCACAATTTAAACCATCCTGTCCAAATATAATTTTCTCTATAATTTTTATAAATTATAGAACAAGCATTTTTGCAAATAATAATAATAGAGCAGTTTTGCTCTATAATTTTTATAAATAATAAAGCAATCATTAATGCTAGGCTTTGAAGTGAAGCCATTAAACCAATTAAAAGAACTTTTTGAATTGACATGAGCTTACAGATTATCAGAGTTTGCAAGGCTTAGGACAGAATGGATTAATCCGCGGTTTAAACCGCCCTGTCCTAAACCCCTTTTTTAAAAACTGTCCAAAACTCCTTTATTTATTCAAATTATGTTACAATTTTAAAAAAAATATTGTGAAAAATAAAAGGTTAGCACATAATAATTTCAGGATATAAAGAATAATAATTTTGATAACATAAGGATAATTATGATACACTACATGAGAAAATTATTTTTGTAATATTGATAATTAATATAAGGGTAATAATTTTTAAAAGATTTAAAGTTTTTAACCTCTTTTCATTTTAGAATCCTTAAATAAATGTTTTTTTACAAGTTGTTTTTTTTTTTACTTCTTACTCTTTTTTACTTGCGCAAATTTAAAAAATTGCATTGATACTTGTATATTTTAATTAGCTACACATCTTGATAGATATTTTATTCTTTAGATTATAGTTATACTAATTTAAAATAAGTTCATTTCACTGCAAAAAAGAGAATAATCACTAATTTTCCGATCAATTATGTTTTAAACAACTAAATTGATACATTAATGCATTATGATTTAATTATGGAATAATAATTTCGTTAATTTTTTTAAAATTATGTATATTTATAGTATATATTTCAATTTTAGGAATAATTTTGTATGAAAAATTTGTTTTTGTCCTCTCATCTTGGAAAATATAGGTTTTTGCCACTTTGCTTGGCAAAAACCTATTGTGTGGTATCATGAATTTGCTTTTATGTTATTCAATAAAATGTTTATTTTTTATGAAATTGATTTTTTATTTGTAGGTATTTTAAAATGAAATTTATGTCTAAAAAGATTAGTTTGGCATTCTTCAGTTTTGATTGAAATTCAAGTTTTAAATGTATATTAATTTATGCGTATACATTAATGGACAGAAAGGATTTAATGCTTAAAACTGTTTTTTTACTTAAAAATTAGCATAATTGCCATAAAACTCACTTTGGCATGGAGCTTTTCATTGGTTAACCTGCTATGCAAGTGGCATTTAACTTAGAAAGTTTGTGTACCATTACATTGAAGCATTTTTAGGCAGATTTCTCCCAATACTTGATAAGGGAGTTCCCTTGTGTTCTGGATTAGTTTCAAAATTACGAGGCTTCAGAGTTGAAAATTAGTAGTTAGTTGTAAACCCAAAAATTGGGTCGGCTGTTCAATGATGGTTATAAAATAAAATATAAAATAGATATGTGCAGAATTCTTGGTGTAAAATTTGTTATGCAACAAATCTAGTAATCAAGTGTTTTAATTATTATACATTTAAAAAAGTTTATTAAAATAGTAATAAAAGAATAATTTATTACCAGAGCTCATTCTAGGCAGAAGAAAGGGCAGGGTGCAAAAGTTTTAAAAAAAGGGCATTATTATTCTAAAAAAGCAATAATTTCTTTCTATGGGCTTTACACATTCTATTAAAAAATGTTGTCAATTAGAAAAAGAAATTTTTTTTACGTTAATAAAAGTCGCAAAGCAATCATATTAATTACTAATTTTTATTAATAAATTAACTTATATACCGAGTTAATGAACTAATTGGCTTAGTAATTTATTTAAAATGTATGTTTTTAAGTGTCTGTAGTTATGANGGCATGGAGCTTTTCATTGGTTAACCTGCTATGCAAGTGGCATTTCACTTAGAAAGTTTGTGTACCATTACATTGAAGCATTTTTAGGCAAATTTCTCCCAATACTTGATAAGGGAGTTCCCTTGTCTTCTGGATTAGCTTCAAAATTACGAGGCTTCAAAGTTGAAAATTAGTAGTAAGTTGTAAACCCAAAAATTTGGTCGGCTGTTCAATGATGGTTATAAAATAAAATATAAAATAGATATGTACAGAATTCTTGCTGTAAAATTTGTTATGCAACAAATCTAATAATCAAGTGTTTTAATTATTATACATTTTAAAAAGTTTATTAAAATAGTAATAAAAGAATAATTTATTACATATTGTTTATTTTAGAATCTATATTTAGTTCAAATGATTTTTAAAGTAAACAGAGTCTTCGATAAGCTAAATATATTTTTGAGATCTACCTTTAGCTTAGAAGTAGATCTTAAAAAGTCTAATCTAATTATTTAATGATTCTATCTAATTATTGTGATCTGACTATTTCATGATTCATTTAAATGTTTTAAGTTGTTAATGACCTGCTAGTGGTTGACCTATGATAAAAAGTACAATAAATAAATTATATGTGTTTTTATAATGCACTAAATAAAAGGGGTTTTAAAAATTTTGCCATTTCTTTGAATATTTTGTGTTTCTGATCACTGACCATAAAGTATCTATTAGCATTATACCTCACCCTTTTCAGAAAACGCCATTTATATTTATGTGAAATGTCGTTTATTTTTTTCACAATTATTTCAGTCTTAAATATTTTGAATATTTCAAATTAGCCCAGGGCCAGATTAAGCGTACGCGGGGCCCCTTGCCATTCAAATTTTTGGGGCCCTTAGATAAAATTTTTTTCTCGTATATTTTTTTAAAATTCAAATATGAAAGTATTTTTATATCTTTTCATTTAAGAAAGCATATTTAAAATAAATAATAATAAAATTAAATTTTACTTTATTTTATTAAATTAGAACTAAAAAATAATCATAACATTTTGAAAAATCATTGTTTTTCTTAATTTTTTAAAATTTATTTTCAAAAAATCCATTTTAAGGGGGCCCCTAATCATTGGTGGCCCCAGGCCATGCCTAACCTAGCCTAATGGGTAATCCAGCCATGAATTAGCCTTTTTATATTTTTTCCATGCAATACTTTACAGTAGGTATATTCAGCTAAATCTTAAATTTTCCTTTTCTGTAATTATGTGTGGTATTTTGTTATGTTTTTTAACTTTTAAATAATAAGAGTTATGTCATCTTTTGTTTAAAAGATTGGCAGGTTTGGATATAGTATTGCTGAATTTCCATGACCGTATTCTGATAACCTTAGTATTCTTTTTTTCTAAAATTTAGTTGTTAAATTCAATTGTTTTTTCTTTTGTTCATCATAGAAAATCATTTCCCAGTGGATATTATTTTTGAAAACCTTAGATTAGGTCAAATTTAACAACTTAATGATAGTCTAATACTTTTTTAAATTGTGTTTTTAATTATGGATTATTAATATTTTATTTACTTTACTTAATTAGGTTCAGATATGGAAGATTACATAAGAATAGAAAAAATTGGAGAAGGTATGAACATTTATGTTATTTAGCAAATTTAGTTAAGTGTTATTTTATTATTACAATTTCTAAATTGTAATTTGAGTTCAGTGTGATTCAAATACCTACTACATTAACCTGTTTTATTTGGTTTTGAATAACCTTATCATCAAAAAAATTAGCTTTCCTCTAGCTTTTGTCAAATCCATATTAATTATACATTTTTTTTTAAAAATTGCATCTCACTAAATTTAATTGTTTTTATTATTTATTTGAGAATTTCTGGTTTAAGGATAGATTTATTACTATTATTGCAAAAACATTGTATATTTTATATTATAAAAACTGGACCAGTAAAATACTGTTATTTTGAAAATGTTATATTTTACATATATTTTTGTCAAAAAGTCAATTACAAATCATATTGCTTAAAAAACAATGTTTCGGTAGTGTTGGAAAATGTTCACATTGTAACTGAAATTTCCCTGGGAAAGTCTTAAGAATTTCACTTCTGAAATTGAATGGGAACCCTGTTTTCTTGTTTTTAACAATGCAATTCAATCAGCATCTTTAATACATTATTTAGCCATTTAAATTTGAAAATTCGTTTAATAATAAACATTTCAAGGTTTTGTTATAAATTATATATTAAAATGTGTAATTGTATATTATTTTAAACGGAAATTTTGTTTTGGTTTAATTTATTAGAAATGTGTGATGTTTAATTATGATCAATTGTTCTTTAATTAGAGCTTTTTTTGTCCTTGGGTTGCTTAGCTCATAAAAGAAAAGATAACACAAAAAATTTAAAAATTTGTTTTTTAAAATTATGATTTTTTCATTATATTTAATTATAATATGTTTTATTCTTTAGGGACCTATGGTGTTGTTTATAAAGGAAAGAACAAAAAGACTGGTAGAATAGTTGCTTTGAAAAAGATAAGAATAGAAAAAGAAGATGAGGGTGTCCCTTCAACTGCTATTCGAGAGATATCTATGTTGAAAGAGTTGCAACATCCTAATATTGTGGGGTATGCATATTTTCTATTTTTAAATTTAGTAATAGTGTGTATTAAGGTGTTTCTTCTATATTTACATATTTTTCATAAATCTTAGTGCCTAGTTCTCATTGCGAAAAACAATGACTAAAAAATGCGGAAAATAATGTGTGTAAAATTTTTTTTTGCGAATATATATATATAGTGTTTTTAGAAGGACAGCCCGCACTGTGTGCCTTTTGATGCCCTCTATTTTCCTTTTTTGTAAAAACAAGGTGCCATCGCTTAAAAACAGACTTTTTATTCATCAAAGGTGAATGTGTTCCGAGTGTATCCCGGAGTTCCAGGGTTTTTGTATCATCCTTCCTGGTCTAAAAATTGGAAGCAGTGTATATGATTTTTTTGAAAATATCGCAGATTTTAGTTTCTCGAGACCATTGGTTCTCGGACTTTCGTTAATCAAAAACTTATAATCCTAGGAAGTTTTCATAGAATCTCACAATATAAAATTTACATTTTGAAACCTATGCTAAATACTGTTAACAAGATGTTTGCAGACATTAGATTTTTGGGGATTTTTGTCATTTTTAATATTTAGAAATGTGCCAAAAACCACCTATTTCGCAATTCGTATTTACGTTAAACGTCTTGTTAATATCAAAGGTTGTTTTCATGCGATTTAACGAAAACCAGTATCGTGATTAGTATTGACACATTTTTAAAATCAATCTAGCAATTTGTATTCACTCGCTTTTAAAATACAGTGTCTCAATTCGTATTCCCACAAGTTTAAAATCCATATTGCGATTTGTATCAATACACATGCTTTTTTTTTTCTTTAAAAAAAAAAAAAAATCATCCTCAAATGCTCATGGTTTTATAATTTTCAGTTTAAATTATTGTAAAAAGCTTTCTAATAGTTTATCAATTAATTTTTTTTTTAAATTTGTGCACAGTATGTCACAGTAATTATTTTTTATAAACTACAAACTTTTCTCTTATTTTGATGTGAATGAGTATTACTTTTTAAATTACACTTATAAAATTGCATTAGAGGGTAATTAAGGAATCTGAGGATAAAATTCAAATATATAAAACACAGTGTACTCTCGCTATCTCAAAGTTAAAGGAACACCAAAAAAATTATGAGATAGAGAGTTTTCAAGTTGACAAGTACAGAGCTAAGTATATTATAAAAAATAGAAAAATCTATTCTAAATTAGTTCTCTAAAAAAATAGAATCATAAAGCATGAGAATAACTAATAACTATGCATATAATATTAGTTGACTAAGTCTAAAATACAGCAATTATAATTTTATTTTTAAAAGTAAGACAAAAATAATTTAACAGAAAGCACGATGAATTTGCAAAAATTTCAGAAAAAATTAATTTTCTGTTTAGAAAAATATTTGATATAGCTAGGTTTTGAGATAGAAATTCAGCTTAATATTAGGTGGATATGCTTTGCCAAGAGGAAAAATATTTTTCGAACTTAGCAAGGTTTTCGAGATATAGAAATTCGAGATAACGAGAGAATACTGTATATGTATATAAGAACTTAAAACCTCAGTGATTTAGGATTTATTGCCTGAGTCCTCAGGGGTTATTTTGACTTTTTGTAAGAGATTTGTTTGAAGAATTTGGGAAAAATTTTGTGAATCTGAAAATAGTCTTATTTCTGTGATGTTTTGAAAAGTCACAAAAATAAGTAGTCTGTTTAGTGAAAGGTTCTGTCTTTGTGAGTTTAGGTTCGATATTTCTGCAAACGCATAAGAATCTTGTCTTTTAAAGGGTTTTCATCCTGAGATGATTGTGCTCCGGAAAATATCCGGATTTTTCGCTAACCGCGATCTGGAAGTTTCCGGAAATCTAAGGTCCAGAAGTTTCAAGAAATCTTCGATCACATTTATGAATAAAAATTCTTGTATATTTTATTTCAAAATGTTAGAACTAGAATTTAAACTTTGCATCTGTTTCATTTGTAAAAATTTTTTTCTGATAGAATAATAAATGTGATGAGAGATAAAAGTAAGCTTTTATATAATTATTCATTTAAATTATGATGCATATAATTTATTTAGAATTTCATGTTTTTAAATTATCAATGATTTAAATTTATAAAGACATTAATTTTTTGAAATTCGTTATTAATGATTTTCTCAAGAAATTATCAGGATTTTTGAGTTGGGCTCACAATCTCTCCATGTCATCTTAAAATTATAATTTTACTGTCTGTCTTCTGTTCCTTTTTTATTTATTTACTTATTACTGTTTATAAAAATATTATATTGGTATACAAATTTTTTTTAATGAAAATAAGTTATTAGGTACACTATAATAAATTTTATTTTTAATTAAAATCACTTTTTAGTATGTTTTTAATTTAAAGTTAAGAATCTTAACGTATGGTATTCTACGACTAATGATCCCTCCTTGTTTGATTTGTATTATTGAATTGTTTGATAAGTTTGTTCAGTTTTGCATAAAAAACTAAAATGTTAATTCTTATTCTTTAATCAATCTGTATTTCATAAAAAAGAAATATTTCATATTATTTAAAATTAGTTTAATTTTTCTCCATTAATCCGTTAAAGGAGAAAGAAAAGATATGATTTAATCCTATTCCTTATTCCTAAAAAAATTTTATATAAATTTTTGTAATTCGAGCTGAGATTCAACGTACCTGGATTTTAAAGTTTTTGTCTAAGCTTTAAACATGAAATGTTCTGAAAATTCTCATAAAAGTAATGTTTAGTTTAGATTCATTAAAATTTAAAAAAAATCATTATGGGACAAAACTTCTAACTGAATATTTGATTTGTCTTTTGAACAAGTACTGATTTCTAATTTGTGAAAAAAAAATTCCATTCTTTTTTTAATTAAAAAAATATTTTTTTTTTACTATTGAAATTTAGTTAATTTAAATTTTGGCAATTTTTCATTCTCAGTTGTTAACAAGTAAGAAATTTTACCATTCTGTTTGTTGTTAAATTTTATTAATCTATTTAATATCTGTGTTAAATAGTTAAACTTGTGTTGTTTCTTTAGTTTATTGGATGTACTTATGCAAGAAAGCAGACTCTATTTAGTTTTTGAATTCTTGTCCATGGATTTGAAGAAATACCTTGATAGCATTCCAAATGGGCAGTTCATGGAAAAGCCTTTGGTTAAGGTAAAAATAATTTTTAAGCAAATAAGTTATGTTACTTCTGAATATAAAATTATTCAAAAAGTTAGAAATACAATGTAACATTAACATTATTTTAAAAAGAATTGAGTATAATAAAGCCTCCTTCATATTTGATGCAATGAAATTTCTTGAGACATGAAGCTTGGAAAAATTTTGAGCTCCAGTTCTAGGAAAAATGAAGCTGCAGAGCATTCCTGCTCCATGTTTCTGGTTGTATTAAAAAATGCAACTTGAGCCCTCTAGGTACTGACTTTTAAGTTTGAATATTATTATTTCAAATGAAGTTTTGAGACATAAAGTTTGGATATGCTTCTTGGCAGCATGCATAGTTTGTGTTGAGAGTCCCTCTCATTGCTAAAATTGTCATTTTTCTACTTTAATTCTGATATTTGCTTCACTATATAATTCCCAAGAGTAGTTGGGAGATAAAAATAATAATGTAACATGCAGGTATTTTTTGAAAAAACATGTTAAACATCTGTTAAAAAATCTGTTTTTTTTTTCTTTCTTTCTCTGCATTATACTAATTTAGTAAAAGAAAACATTTTCTAGATCAAATTATAACTATTGACCCATACTGTGTAAAATTAAACTGATAATTTTAATGTTCTAGTTATTTAACATTGATTTTTAGCAATTCAATTTTATTTATGCTAGGAATTTTTGTTAACTTTTGTGAATTCTGAATTATACCATTCTAAAGTTACTTATGTATTAGTGTCTACTGCTAGAAATGCTTTATCCAAGTTGGGATTGTTTTTATGTTGTCTTACTTAATATTCAGTCATGATTCTGTATTAACTTATAAAGCCCCATTCAAGCAATACCTAATTATTTAAATGCATTTTGTTCAAGAGATAGACAATGTAAGTAAAAAAATTAATGAATACCCTACTTGGCAAAGTGAAGCATGTGTTTAGCATGGTGCCAAGCAGATAGTAAATATTTTTGTGTGATTTTTTTTGCGTTCTGATTCATACAGCAATGCAGAATAAAAGCTGCTATGACTGATACAGCAGTGAACAAATGATTTAAAGCAGTCATAAGTTAAGTTGGAATCAAATCCTGACATCACAATATGAAGTGTAGCTAAAAGTAAAGCCTATGGACTTGAAATATGAAAAGCAACTGTTTTTAATACCGCCCATGAACAAAAAAATATCAGAGCACTGAATTCTCCAAAGAAATCACCAAGACTTTGAAATGAGACTTTTTGGCAGAAATGTTATACTGAAACCAAATTCCGACTGCTAATAAAGTTTAGAACACTGCTCATTCCAGTTGCCAAGCTGGAACAGTATCTGTTGAACTTCAAAAAATTGTTTTATACACTCAATCATTTGTATTGGAGACTGAGCCACGGGAATTCGTTATTAAATTTCAGGCTGAACAAAAATGTTATGAGGAAAAATTATGCCTTGTAGCAAGAGAAATGAAGCATTGCAAACTTCTTTCATTTTGTTTAACTGAGCCTAGTATAAATCTCTTAAATTTTAATTCCTCATACACTAAAGCGATAACCAGCTCTGATTCTTCTGGCTCAGGTTTCTTTAATTTTTTATCTTTTTCTACATTGAGTAATGTATTTTTTGGTTTCAAAATGCTTGGAGCTTTTCTTATTATTATTTGTTTAAGCATTACCATCATCTCAACTTGCATTACTTGTTGTAGGAGATGAAATGTAAATTTTATTTTCTATTATTTTGGATATTTTTTTTTTNCCTATGTGAAAATGACCCGAATAAGGTACTGCCTGGAATGTTATTTTTTCCTACTTATCTCTTAGATAGTAAAAATAAACAGAATTTAAAATGTGGTGATGCTAATAACTATAAATTTCTCTGCGCTTAGTCCACTTGTTTCCCTATCTGTTTTTGGTACAGTTCTTAAAGTGTTTCGGAAACTCAGAGATAGTTTTTTTTTAACAATTAAATAGATATAAATTATTTTTAAGTATCACATTTTAAGGTATATATGCATATATACCTTTAAAGGTATTTGGCATATAGCCTTTTTATGTTTTTAAGTTCAGGGGTGTCTGTGCTCCGGGGAAACCCCAGAATTGCGGGGATTTTGAACTTCGATACCCGGAAATTCCGGGGATCGTCGTTCAAAAGGAAGTAGGAATAATAATGAATTATTTATTTTGATCTGGGTAATTTTGTTTGCTTTGAAAGCAGAAAACGCAAGGTCAGTGTGTGTGGTGAAAACTTTTCCTTTCTTTCTCCAAAGGCAGTGATAATGCGTGAAAAGGGGGAAAAAACTTCTTTTTTGTTCTTTCCTTATTGCGAGTTATGACTCATTCCCCCGGTTCTCGGACATTCTCTTCTGGATTCTTTTCGACAAGTAGGCACGGCAGAAAAAAAGGGAGAGACTTCGTTCGACCAGATGTGCGATCACGTGACTCTGGGTTCAAAGGTCTTATCTCTCCTGGCGTGGCGCCATTAAGTAGAGTACTAATACAGCACAGCATATGAAACAGAAATTACCCCTTAAAAATTCATATCTAATTAGTTTTACAGCATTAGATCCAGAGCTAAGAGGTAAAACCATTGCAATATTAGCTATTTGAAAAATTATCATCTTTTATGTCCCTTATTTTTAGTGATAATTAAAAGTCAAAAGTAGAAGCTGAAATAAGGTTATATCAGAGTGATATTGATATCACCAAAGAAATGCCCTACACATCTGATGAAAGTGGAAATCAAGTCAAGTGTTTTTAATTTAAAAGATGATTTCACAAATGATTATAAGTATCCTACATTGGCTAAATTGGTCAAAGCCTGCCCTAGCTGCTTCCATGGCCCATTAGTGGAAAGTGCATTCAAATTAATGGATACACTTGTCACTGACTATAGAACCTCTCTTAAGATTGATTCCCTAGATGCAGTGCAGACTATTAAATATGATTTAATGGCTTCTAAAGAAACCTCGTGTGAAAAATATGGCTCAAAAAATCCAATGACTGATCCAATTCACAATCTTACTGAATATGAACAGAAGTTGGAAAACATATTAAGAGGACTTAAAAACATGTATTTCAGATGAGTCACCTATAAAAGTCACTGAAAAACCTTCTAATATGCAGAAAAGCAAACTGCTTCTACCTCTGCATGTGCAGTTCTCGAGGAAATTTCTTCAACTGTAAATGAGGAAAATAAAAATCAACCTTCCTGCAATTATGAAGTTCACCACAAAAGAAAGACAAGCCCACACACATCAGAAAATTAAAAAAAGCAGCAGAAATTAGATAATTTTTTTTTAAAGAATTAATTCAGGTAATTTAAAATATTTACATAAAATGTAGTAGTTTATATGTTTGAAAATTTATGGTTATTAATTTTGCAAAAAAAGTAATTCATTGAACTTTTATAATTAGGTCATTCCATACTCCACAATTCATCCATAACATTCCATACTTCATTCATCATACTCACAAACACCCCTGATACCCGAATTGACACACATTCGATTGTTGATACTGCTTGAAATAAGTTAGTGTTTTTTTTTTTTTTTTTTAAGGTTGCTTTCCTCCTCATGCTTTGGAAGTAATTCCTTTTTCTTATATTTTAATTATTCTAGTTTTACTTAATCTTGCATTTATGCAGTCTAACTAATTCGGCTAAAGTAATTATTTGCATATATATTAAGAAATAGTTTTAATGATAGAGCATGCTGAGAAGGGAACAAGTGTCTCCTTGTGAGAATTCTTTCACTATGATGTTTTTTCTGAACATTCATTTCCTCCCGAAAAAGATATTGAAATAAGGAAGCAATTAAAATTAACAGTTTATACAATTCTAGCTTGCTGCTGTTTTAATAGGCTGAGTCCATCTAGGCGGGAAAGAAACTATTGGCCAAGGATGCCACCTAGAGTTTATGATACAACCCCTCTTCCTTTTCTTCTCTCGTCCGTTCAACTAACTGAGGATGAGGCAATGCGCAGGCGCGCAGAGAAGGGGGATTGCTATAATTACATGACAGGGTCCTTCAGCAGGACTATACAGGGTGCGTTCTGAAAGTAATGCGCATTTTCTGGTAAAAATAGATTTATTGATACTATGGGTACAAATGTTTAAAATTCTTCAAAATAGTTCCCTTGTGCATCAATACACTTGCGGAGATGATTCTGCCACGCTTGGAAGGCACCCTGGAACTCCTCAACAGGAATGCATCTCAGGAACCTTGTTACATGAGCTTGGATGTTCTCTACCGACTCCCAGTGCTTTCCCTTCAGTTCTCTTTGCAGTCGGGGGAACAGAAAAAAGTCACACGGTGTCAAGTCAGGGCTATAGGGAGGCTGGAGCACCAAGGGGGTCTTACTTTGGGTCAGGTAGTTGATGATGATGAAGGCCGTGTGACTCGGGGCATTGTCGTGACGGAGCTTGAAGGTGTCTTTGATGTCAGGCCTGACGCGCGTTTCAATCTCTTGAGCACCTCCAGATAAAAAGCTGCGTTTACAAATTGTCCTTGCTGAACAAATTCAAAATGTACGATTCCTCGGATGTCAAAGAAGACAATCAGGATTGTTTTGATGCGAGATTTGCTCATGCGTGCTTTTTTGGGCTTGGGAGAAGATAGGGTGTGCCACTCGGAGCTCTGCCTTTTGGATTCTGGATCATACTCGAACATCCAGGATTCGTCCCCGGTTACACAAGAGTTTAAAAAGTCTGGATCATTTCTCATCAATTCCAACAATTCTTCACTGCTCAAAACTCGAACTTCTTTTTGCTCCTCCGTCAACACCTTCGGCACAAACTTCGCACAGACCTTTCGCATTTGCAAACCCTCCGTCACAATCCCATGCACCACGCATTTTGAAAAGTTCAGAGTGTTGGCGATTGCCTGAATGCTTAACCGACGGTCTGACTTCAAAACTTCATGCACACGCTGGACATTTTCATCGGTTCGGGCTGTTGTTGGGCGTCCAGAACGAGGCTCGTCTGCGACCTTCTCCCGACCCTCCTTGAAGGCCTTGTGCCACCTTCCACACTGAGATCTCGAAATGCATTCCTCCTAAAGGCGTCTTGAAGCATGTGAGAAGTTTCCGTCGCATTCTTCCCAAGCCGCACACAAAACTTAATTGCGTACCGCTGTTCCAGCGAACCTTCCATCACTCCGTGACACGATCGAAAAAAAGACTTTGAGCGAAGACACGTCCTACCTCTCCTACTGCTCGGAGCGATCTGAGACCAGATGCATTTTGAAGGACAAATCCCCCCACCACATCTTTAGCCCAATCTGGGGCGCTGCGATCGATAGTTGCGTCACAATAAAATCATGCGCATTACTTTCAGAACGCACCCTGTATATACACACATGGCTGCTAACCCTTCTGTATTTTGCTGAAGCTTTCCACATTTGTACTTATTTGAGTGATTTTTTATGCACAGAAGTTAAGATTTTCTGCATTCTTACCTGTCTATCTGGTTGCTTGTTTCTTTAATTTAGACTTCGCTGCTCCTCTTGTAATGGCCTTGGGGAGCTTACTGGGATCTTCCCTTTAAGGTGGGCAGGGTGCCTACAGACTCTTTTTACTCCTTAGAAACAAAAAAGTCTGCAATAGAGTACTTAGAACTACTTGGATTTCCAAATTAGTCCTTAGAAACTCCTTAGATTATTGTGTTGCATAGATGAACTTACTAAATCTGCTGATGAATTTGCAGTCCAAGCAAGGAAACTAAATGATATGACTTAGTTGTCAAAATCTGATAGTTTAAGAAAAACTTTAAGTAAAAAAGAATTGCAAGAGTTAGGAGAAAAAAATAACAGCAAATTTTAATTTTTCATGTTACAAGCAAACTTAATGATTTATAGAGATTTTCTTCTGTATTCAAATTTAAAAATATGAGATTGGTAGGTTTTCTGTTAATCTACAACGTCTGCACTATGTACTTTAACTAGATTTATTAGAATATTTGAAACTGGTAAATGTATTTATGTGTGAAAATGATAACTTTATTTATTTTTCTTGATTAAGTTTGACAAAGTCAAAATCTATTTCAAAAGGGCTAGAAAAAATATCTTATGCAAAATATAAATTTTTACAAGTTCTTTATAATAACTGCTTTTTAATTTTAAAAAAAACCGTCTAGTTATCTTTTACGCAGAGTTTTTAAATTTGTGATAAGTTTCGAACTAAAATTTTGGACTCCTCGAATAATCCTTGGATTTCTTCTTCTGATCTTTGTATGAACCCTGAAATTGGGGCATAATATATTTCTCCTCTCATCTACCAATGAGGGAAGGAATTCTGCTTCTTTGCCAGCGTAAAAGCAAACATTGAAACAAAAAAGCATGTGTAAAGTTGAAATAACGGTGAAAATATTTATTTGCTCATCTGATTTATCTTGTTAATTTTATTTATTATGGCTAAACGAATACAATGCAACTAAACCTTAAAGGAGATTTATTCTCTTGAATTTCCATTTATTTCTCGATCGAATCATGGAGTACATAATTTACGTTGCTACTTATGTAATACTGACTTTAGCATTGCTCATGATGGTAAGACTGATATAGTCGGACACGTAAAACATATACAATTACATACTATAGTTTTAATATGTTTTAATTCAAAATAATGTTTATATGATACTTAAAATATACTTTTCCATGTAATCAAGTATTAATGAATGGATATTGTGCCCTCAAGTAGCAGGTCAAAAATCTTTTGCTTGTTTTTTTTTTTAAATTGTTAGTATACAGCGAGTAGACATCTCTTTTTTTGTCGATCTTCTGTATTTTTAAATTTAGGGAGTGACAGCTACGCATGCATGAATAAATATATATACAACAGGGATGAGATTCTTCCGCGGATTCGCGGATTTCCGCTTTTTTTCAGATTTTTCCATTTTTCCCGCTAATTTCCGCTGAAATTTTTTTTGCCCAAGTTAAAATGTTTTATGAGGAATTTAATTTTCCGCGGAGGGAAATTGTTGAAGTCCCTTTTCCTCCCTCTGAAGTTTCTCTAAAAATCATTTCCTTGGGATAAAACTGGTTGACCTTTATACAGGGATGAGATTTTTTTTGTCTCTCGAATTTCAGCCTTTTTATCAAAAACTCCGATTCTCTAAAAGTTTCGTTTTTTTTAAATAAATATCCCGTTTTTTTTTAATTNCGCCTACCAGTCATCATTTACTGCACGGGGAATATTCTGTCGGTTGGATTCGAACTCCCATTCTCACAAATTTGAGTCCAGTGCCCCGCAACCAGGCTATCCGTTTAATATGCTGAAGTATAATTATTAAAAAAAAAATTCAAACAAATTTTTCAAACCTTTTATCAGAACATACATGACATCTAATTGACATTCGGTTAAACTATTTACATGCAGTTATGGAAAAATTCTTTTAATTCTAATTTAATAAAATATTTCGTGTTACCTTTGCGACCACTAGGAAAAATCATTTACTGAAACTGCAGAAATTCCCTAAAATTAAAAGAAATGCTTAAGAAGTGTGTATAAGATAATTTATATTATCGTTTAATTATCGTGATTAGCTATTTTTTTCCTGAAGATTTCATTTTTACATAAGGTATTTAATAATGTATCTATAATTTCTAATTCGCAACAGCATTTGAAAAAAAACCCAGCTTCATGAAAATCGTTAAGTGTTTCACTTAAAACTTTCTCAACTGAAAACGCGTTGAACATTTCAGTTGTATTACACCCATATAAACGATTCTGTAGTGGAAATGAACTTTTCAGATATGAACCCAAATGACCATGACACTCTAGGTAGAAGGATTACTAGTCGCGTAACACTCTCAGACGCAATTCAGCTATGGTGTTTTTGCTAACATACATGTGGGAGTAAGTGCAGCATAGGTGTAAATAACGACAATAATTTAACAACATAATAATTTAATAGAAATAAAAGGGATAGAAGGATATAACAGTTAACGTTATTGACATGACTCGTGAGAGTTGCCTTCGCGCAGTGGTCTCCGGAATGCATGTGACTAAGAATTAGAGTGTTCTATGGTATAAAGTAAGAGTTAATTATAAATTCGGGAGTTTCCCTTCGGGACTTCCCCTTCTGGTCTGACTGGCACCTCTCAATGTCAAGAGGATGATGCAACTTTCTTTAATATTACAAGATGGTAGATGACGCAATGTTTGCAGTTATTACACTATAATACTATAACAACAGCTCCAAACTCCACATATATATATATATATTTTTTTTTTCTTTTTTTTTTCCTTTCTTTTTTTTGTTTTTTGGATTTCCTCTTTTTTACTTTCTGACTACTCTCATCCCTGATACAATTATGGGTTCTGTTTAGTGCAGCTTATGCACATCTTTCTAAAAGAGCACTAAAAAAGAACACTGCTTTTGTGTACGCTTGTTATTTTAAATTGCTTTTCTTGATTATTTTACTTCTATGAAATTGTCCACCTTTCATCTTTAGTACAATGTTTATTTAAAATTTGCTGCTTAATTATTTTTTACACTCTTTCTATGATTTTCTTAACTACTTTTTACATTCAGTATAATTTATGGTTTCTTAATGCAAAGTGGTTTTCATGTTATCAAAATCTAGTCACATATCAGTTTAAGTTTGTTTTCGATACTTCTCGTATCAAAAAGTTATTAATATGTGTGTGTATTGTATATATTTAAACGTTCTTCACATATTTAACTGTTAAAAAAAGTAATAAATAAACTTTTTTCTTTCTCTGTGTGTAACTGTTCCCGTGTTTATTTCTAGATTTTTTAAAAGAAATTTCATCTTATGATTCAAAATTGCATTCTAATTATTGTAATCCATTTACTTTTTAGGACTTTGGGAACCCCAACTGATGATGTCTGGCCTGGTGTGACAGAAATGCCAGATTACAAAACGTCCTTCCCTAACTGGAAAAACAATACTTTGCACAATCTATCAACCCGGTTAGGAACAGCGGGACAAAGTTTACTTAGAGTAAGCATCTTTTCTAAAATGTAATTCTATTGAGTTTTTCATAGCATATTGCTGCCAAGAGTTATCTAGAATCAGTCTAATAGGAATGAAAAAAGGAAAAAATTGGAAAGTTTTGTGATATATTTTCTAGCTATTACTGTGATGTTTATTAGTCTGACATTCTAGCAATTTATCAGTGTATGGTTGAACCCTATTATAATGAACTGTCAACAGACCCTGTAATTCATAAGTTCACTATAAACAGTAGTTCCACTATATATAATTTCTTTAAAAAATTATTTTTTCGCAATTGACAATAGTATTGGAAATAGTTATTACGATTACATCATTTGGTTAAAAATTATTACTTGATTAAATAGATGATAAAAGAAAAAATTACTTTTTACATTCTATTGAAGAAATTAAGAGTTTTCGACTGACTACAATTAGATTTTAAGTAGAGTTAATCAATTTTGTATCAAGAGTTGGTAGCTTTTAGTCCTCATTTTCTGCACGACAAAAAATTCAGAATAGTCTATTTCCCTTCCTTGATAAATGTTTTCCTTCTGCAACATTAACGTGAATGTATGTGCTGCTTTCTCAATTCTCGCAAATTTAAAGTTTGAAAAATTAAAAAAGAAAGGGGAAAAAAACAGCCAATGAAAGTACTACACTATAAACGAGCTACTAATTTTTCATTTGTTCACTACGAGCATATTAAACAACGTTACTTAAATGAGAAATAAGGAAGAACTGTTAGAAAAGTTCATTATAGCAGAGTTCACTATATCCTAGGTTCATTATAGTGGTTTTTGACTGTAATATTTTTTGCCTATGCTTGTAAGCTTCTCTTGTATTAGAGAAAGCTTAGGAAGCCTAGCATTGTCAAAAGATTTGATTTTGGCAACAACAACAAAAAAAAGAAATGTTTAATTTTTTTAAAGGAGAAAAAAAAAATTATAAATAACACTTTAAAATGCCTTAACAAAACTAAGAAAAATGCCTATCTTAAAATTAGAAGTTAACAAAGTGACATTTTTTGCAATGTATATATTTCTTAAAAAATGTAACTTTCTTTATTTTTAGTTTTAAAAATGTTCCCTGTTATATTTACTTTTATTTTTACATGAATGTATGTAATTTTAAGCAATTTTTGCTTTAAGAAAACTTTAATATAGTTTTTTTTTTTTTTTCTCGAAAGTAATCATGAAAAAATTTATCTAATACAATTGTTGTAACATATTATGTTGAAAAAGAAATTCTCTGTTTTTGTGATGAATATGTTTTGCTTTAATTAGTGTTTACCCATTCTAATGAATCGTATCTAGTTTTTCCCTGATTGATATTTGTTCTCTTTTCAGGAAATGTTGATTTACAATCCTGGAAAACGAATATCGGCACTGGCAGCTTTGGATCATGAATATTTCGACGATTTCGATAAATCATGTCTTCCATCTTGTAACGTTTCAGTTTAGGATTTCTATATTTTTCATTTATAAAATTCATTGTGCACATGTGAATTGCTTGTATATTTTTTTACTCTGAGGATATGTAATCTTTTATGTGGAACTTTTTTTAAACAAGTATTGTATACATATATGTTTTTATTTTAGGTAACAATAAATATTTTTGTATATCAGTTATATGAATGCTGTAATATTTTGTATATCAAACTTACAAATTCTTTGTTTTTGAAAATTCTGTTTCAAATTATAAATTTGATAAATCAAAAGGAAAAAAATAAAGTAGCTTTGTAGTTAAAAATCAGAGATTTGTCTTATACAAATATTTATTAGGGGGGTGCCAAGTATTGCAATTTTTCTGTGTTTTTAATAAGTGTTTGTTCTAATTGTAGAATTACTTTGAAAAATAGGAAAAGTTTTTTGCCTTTGTAAATTTTTGCAATTGCTTTTAAATTTTCTTGAAAAGGTGAAGCCGACCTATTCAGACAGATTGAAAATATAAGAACCCTTAGGTTATAATCTGAAGGAAAAAAGAAATCAATTTCTATTTCAGATATTTAAATCCTTAAAAACGCACTTAAATGAACAGGGACTTTTTGAAAAATCCCAGCCCACCTAGCTTTTTTTTTTTTAAATAAAAAAAAAACTGATTTCATTTGGTTTTTGATGAAAACCTTGAGGTTATTTCAGTACTTAATAAGAATATAGGATTTGCTTCTAGCAAGAAAGTTAAATATTTAGTAACTATTCTTTGGAAGATTTTAGATTGTTATACTATTATTTTTATTTCGAATGGACAATCAGATAGGTGCATAAAAATTTAATTCTACTCGACAAAAAGATTCCCAAATATTTGTCTTATAGTTTATTAGAGTAAAATTTAAACATAGATTTTATTATTAATCATCTTTTACAGTTAACATTGCAATTTAAGACTGTTTTGCTTTTTTAAATTTCTATTACCCTTTTGGTTACTTTAAAATTAGTTAATGTTTCTCGCAAATCATTTGCAATACTGCGTAAAATTAATTCCTAATAATAGTTTTGGCAGGAAATAATTTTGTACAAAGCTCATTAAAAAAGTAAATATTATTGCTGTTAAGTAATAATTTCCAAATGGTTATTTTTTCAATGTGTTGTTTTTATTTAAATTTTACATAGTAAAAAGTGATATTGTCGGATTACTTTATCTTTATAATAACAGAATACCACTTGTAGTTTTAAACTGTTAATTTAAGATAAAAATCAAAATCGAATCATCATAATGGTTGAAGAAATATTAAGAAAGGATGATAAAACGAAATACTATAAGTACGTGCCTTTAAATGATGAAAAAATAACTGTTTTATACGTATTTGTTAATTAAGGAACCTTAATCCTTTTAAATCATTTTATATGTTGCATTGAGAAACAACATTTATATTTGTTGCACACATAAGTTGCTTACATCATATTAAACATTTTGGTTCAGAATCCTATAAAAATATTTGTTGTAATGAACTTAAATATTGCATTAAGCCTAGTGGGTAAAAAAAAGTGGAACAATTTAAGTTGCCTAGATATTAGTAAGGCCTGTATTTACCTGGAATAGGACTTAATTTAACATGCCATGGTTAAGAAAACTCATGCAAACTGATTCAAACTTTTTAGTATTAATTCTTCTAATATGCAGGGGTGATTGTGCTCTGAAAAAATCTGGATTTCCGGATTTTTTGCTAACCGCGATCCGAAAGTTTCCGGAAATCCAAAGTCCAGAAGTTTCAAGAAGTCATCGATCATATTTATATATAAAATTTTTTTGTATATTTTATTTAAAAATATTCAAACTACACTTTGTACTTGGCATCTCTTTCATTTGTAAATATTTTTTCTGGTAGAATAATAAATGTGATTAGAGATAAAAGTAAATTTACACATAATTATTCATTTAAATTATGCTGCATATAATTCATTTAGAATATCATTTTTTGAAAATTTAAATGATTTAAATTTATAAAGATTATGATTTTACTCAAGAAATTTTCAGGATTTTTGAGTTGGACCTACAATTACCCCTGAATATGTACCCTTATAAATGAACCATGTTATTGAGAGAATTTTTTTTTTTTTTTTGTAAAACCAAATATTTAGCAAGATTAACCAACAACTGAATAGGTGATGCATATACAGCAAATACACTGCTGGACAATTGCTAAGGACGGATAACACTATCATCCATAGCAACCACAAAATTAAAGGAAGCAAAATGTGGAAAATTAGAATAAGTGCGGGATATAGTAAGAAGAGGTATGCGTATGCAAATTTTTTTTCCACGTCTGTTCATCACGTGATAGCGCTGATAAGAGCTTTAAAGGTTTTGACGCGTGTGGAGAGTTGTTGTTTCAAGTCAAAGTTTTACAGGAAAGATTTAGTTGACGAACTTGAAATTTTCGGCATGTCTTCCCGATATCACTTAGATGATTTTAAGCGTGGCCGAATTATTGGAAAGATCGAAGAAGGGCGAAAAATAACAGATGTTGCCAGGGAGTTCGACATCGCTCACAGCGTTGTTTCACGGCTGTGGAAATCATTTAAAACTACTGGAATGTGTAGTAGGCGGCACGGGGGAGGTCGTGTTAGAAGTACGACGCCTGCAGAAGACAGATACATCGTCCTATCAGCAAAAAGGAACAGGCGCACCACAGCTCAGCAGGTGGCAAATCAGTTTCTTGCTGCCACAGGAAAGCAGATCTCCCGAAAAACTGTTGCCAGACGTTTGAGGGGAGGAGGACTATACGCCCGCAGACCTGTTGTGTGTGTCCCATTGACCAGACAGCACCGTACTGCCCGTTTGCAATGGTGTCGTGAGCATCACAATTGGACTGAACAGGACTGGGCATGCGTACTATTCTCAGATGAGAGTAGGTTCAGTCTGTCATCGGATTGTAGACGCCAACTGATCTGGCGCGAGAGTGGTACTGGTTATCGTCCAGAAAATATCCAGGAAAGGGACCGATATCCGACATGCAGTGTCATGGTGTGGGCCGGCATCATGATCAATGGCCGCACGCGCCTACATGTGGTTGCGAATGGGACTATGACGGGCCAACGATACATTGATGAAGTTCTACTTCCTCATGTTCGTCTTTTCCGTGGTGCTGTCGGTGATAAATTTGTTTTTATGGACGACAACGCAACATGTCATCGAACACTCGCTGTTCAGGATTGTCTAGACAGCGAGGGTATTCAACGCCTCGTATGGCCATCACGTTCTCCAGATCTAAACCCCATTGAAAATGTTTGGGATGCTTTGGGGAGGCAACTTGCTGGTCGAAACTATCCTCCGACAAACAAGAACACCCTCATCCGTGCACTGACAGAGGAATGGGATAAATTGCCTCAACAGCTGCTGGATAATGTTGTGCAAAGTATGATACGACGTGTAGAATGTTGCATCACACTCCACGGTGGACATATCCCGTACTGACACCTTTCTTCAAGTTGCCTGCTGACATTTAGATGCATTGTTCCATTTTTCCGTACGCAGCATCAAATGAACATTTTTTTTCTTTCAGATGTTTCATAGCTTTTGTACTTTCCAGAACAATGAATATTCTTTATTCTAATGTCTGAACAGTGTGGCAACTATACTTTATCCTACTAGGTCTCATGTCTCGCTTAATGTTATGCTACATTGCAATTTGTGATCCGTCCTTAGCAATTGTCCAGCAGTGTATAAAAACTTCTAACAATTTTTTCAATATTTTCCCTAAATTTCTTTATTTAACTGAAATTGTTTGTTTAAAAAAATTATGAATCAATCTCACTTTCTGCACTTAATTTTACAACCAGAGGAAAAAAATTTTAAATCTACTAATTCAATTTCAGTAAAATCATTGAAGATGTGGAAATATTTCAAGTTTACTTCCTGCCATTATAATATTAGTTATTATCTTAAAAATTTATAATTAAATATAATTTTAATTTTGTAATTAAGTTAATTGTAAATTTCACAAAAATAAATTCTTGATTTTTGCTACCATTTACCTAGCATTAGATGCAGTAAATAATAGTGCTATGGCACTTAGATGGTAGTATTGATTCTGTTAAAATTCAATTATATAAAAGCAGTATTTTATGTTCGATAATAATATATAAAATTAATTTATAAAATAAAAGAGTTCAATGATATTTTAGGCTACACAATTTCTTAAAAACTTAACATTTTTCCTAAATGAAGTACTTAGATTTAATTATACTTTAAATTACTCTAATCTGTCTAAATATTTAAAAAAAAAAATGCAAAATTAGTATATCAAAAGTTAAGCACTTGTAAGAAAAATTTTACTGATAAAATTTTTTTAATAAAATTAAAAAAAAAATATATATATACATAAGTCTTTTGGATTCCCAATATTCTACACCGAACAGATACTTCACATTTCCGTCATAATTAAAGGTTCATTAGTATGCTCTTAAAACAATTTGAATGCATTTTAATTTCTGTATCAAGTTAAATTATTTTCATTTAGTTGGAAGTTTTGTTCTAAGGCAATAATTTACAACTGTTTTGCTTTTGAAGCAAAACTTATTAATTTTGAAAAACAAATGCACCTTGGAAAAGTGGGTTTCTTCAAGGGGACCCACCTGAAAAAACCCGTCTGGGTTCAATAAGTTGTCTAGACCCACTTCGCAAACCCTGGTAATAAACACAATTATATCAGTATTTGCATAATCATAAATTTTAAGAGAAAGGTAAATAGTTGGCACTGTCACTGTTGGTATGTGTATATTTCTTTAAAAACAATTATACTATTTTTAAGCTGTTTAATTTTTCCAAAAAATTTTCTTAATTTTTCAAGAAAAGTCCTTAATTTTCACTTTGATAAGAGAAAAAGTAAAGACTCTGCTAATGCACTTTTTATTAAAATTTTTTTTTTTTTATTTAATGTTTCAAACTTAATGAATGATAAGAACAATTCTGTTTATTTCTAAATTTATGTGAAGCAATGTCTTAGTTGAAATGACTTGAGAGGACTGTTCCAAAAATTTTATTTGAAAATCGTATTAAAACATATTCATAATTTACATAGCATCTTTCCACAATTCTGGTATATTTGTACCAATTGTTCTTTCTTCATATTTCTTCTGTAATCTTGCGTTTTGCGCGGGTGAAAAATAATTTTTCCAATCGCCAACAATACCTGCAAATAAATATTTTAAGGAAAATGTTCTACAATTTATAAAAGAAAAAACAACAGTATGTTAGTTTTAATTATAATTAGTGATCATGTACATTTATCATAAGCAAGAAATTATTTACTATATACAGGGTTGCCACAGGCAACTAAAATGCTACTCTTTGCAACTATTTTCAGCCTGAGGCGACTATGGCAAAGTTTTTTGTCTGAAACGGTTAAAAAAGCAACTATTTTCAGGAAAAGGAGACTACTGGGAGACTTTTCTGTACTCCTAGCTATGTTTTTTTTAGCATAAATTGGTTTGACAACCTGTGGCCAGCGGGCGGGAGCTTCTGAACGCAATGAATCTTTTTTTTTTCCCTTAAAAATTTTAAACCTTTTAAATTGCAAATTTGAGATCAATTTTCACAATATATATATATATATTTTTTTTNTTTTGATGAAAAAGTATTTTTTTTTTGTTTGAATGATTTCTAGCAATTAAAAGTATTTAATTTTCTGCAAATGTACTAATTTTTTTGATATAAAAATTTATTGCCAGAACACTAACGTTTATATAAAAATTATCATATTTGCCACCAATTTGACTAAATGGATAATGGTATATGACGATTAAGTCATTTAATAAAATTTGAGTCTTTTGAAAACTTTTTATTTAGGCAACTATTTTCATGCTTTAGGCTACATAAAGCAACCATTCTGTTCATTTTTTACTGTGGCGACCCTGTTTATATGGAAACGTGATTTCTAAAAAAATAAAGTTGTTTCATCAACAAATTTTGAAAAAATTTTTTTAGAAGCGAAGGTTGTGTTTAAAACTGGAATTTATTTTTTTTATTATAAATTCTTTTTAATTTTTCATATGACAAACTAATAAGTAAGTGAAAATTTCATGTTTTTTTCATATATTTATACATCTGTAAAAAGTTATGACGTTCTTTGCAAAATAACATAATGGGAATGAAAGTCTCAATAATTTATAGTTTTAAAATAAACCAAACTACATTTAATTTACTATATACAATATTGGAAGGTAATTATAAAAAAGCAGATGAAAGATACATTCATATATTTTCTTAAAGTGTGGTTTTTTATTTTAATAAATAGTTAAACTTACTCTTTTCAGAAATATTTATCAACTTGTTGCTAAGGAAAGGGATCACTATTTTGACATTTTAAAAAGTTTTGTAAAATAGTTTTGTAATTAGTTTTTTGCCATGTTTTATAATTAAATGCCAAATATTTTTTTGAATTATTACAGAAGCAATAAGAATCTTGACTTTGCAAGCAGCAATATAATTTTTTAATTCTGATAACTGAATGTTTTAAAAAAGAATTAATGTTTAAGAAAATAAATTATATTTGACTTTATCTCCGAATGAAAAAAATACATGAAGTTATATTTAATGAAATCTACTCTTATTCATCAAAATTTTTTTTTATACAGAGTACTTAAAAATCAAAAAGCATAAAATTAAGTAAATGTGTGTAATGGATAATCACTCTAAAAGGATGTTCTAATACTTCATTGAGTACTTATTGCAGAGTTATACAGATCTCCTTTTTCTGAGTCTGTTACAATTTTTTTTAAAAAAAACTTTTATTGTTAAAATTAATTCTTGTAATTAATAGTAACTCCAGAAAAATTATTTTCTCTTCATCATTATTTGTTTGCAATATGATTTATATGTTTGCCAATTGTTGCATATATGATATGCCAAAAGAAATATAAATGAGCTGGTTTAAAAAAAAAAAAAAAAGTGTTAGTTCTCTCTTATTTTCTAAAATCTACTCTGTAATGTTTTTGAAGATAATTTCAATACCTTTCCTCACAAAATCCATTTTAGTACCATCGGATTTGATTTGTGATGACTGCAATAGCTCCCTAAGTCCTGGTGGTATATCTGGATTGTTATCTATAAGCTCTTTAGGAATGTCCGCTATCTCGGTCAATAGTTTATGTAAATGTTTTTTCATAAAGGCAAAACTACTATGATAAATCACATCTTCCAATATCTTCTCATTTTTATCCAGCATTTCCTACAGAAAAATATTCATGGGATCATTGTAAAAAGTATTGTCAGCAATATATATTTAAGATGTCTCACAAGAACAAAGATCAATATATAAGTTTTTAGAATATATATTTATAAATGACGCACATTATATTTTGTATAATACCTAATTGGGATTTAAACAAGGGAAATGAAACGCTATCAAAATCTAGTTATTCTCTATTGAAGGCGGTTGGTGTGGAAAATATAATTATTCTCTATTGAAATAGAGAATAATTATATTGGATTGCATCCTCCTCTATTGAAGGAGCTTGGTGATGGAAACATCAGATCCTGTTTGAAAGCAAGAGGAAAGAGAGGATATGTTAAACGATTACTGTAAACACTTTAGAATTTTATCCAGTGTACTACTACTTACTAGTTTTGATTTTTGTTTAAGCCTGGCTTACCTCAATAGTGATATATTTAATTTTGACAACAATTCAGGTTGCATAAATATTGATTTAAGAACAATGGGCAAATTTTAGTAATAGTTTAAAAGGTACTGAATAGAATCGAAACATATACACTTACCACATTGAAATGAAATTCACACTATCTTACAATAATTATATTCAAATTTTAATGACTAATTATTATTTATAAGGAGATTAATAGATATCTTATAAATGAAAAAAATATTTTTATTGTAACTCTTGTTATTTTTCACGGGTTTGTTATTTAGGCCATTGTCTTAAACTAATGTATTTAGTATCCACCGAGCTAGAAAATCTATAATTTGACAACACAAAAACCTTATCGAGATAGTTAAGAAATAAAGGGATTTGATAACTTTTAAAATTTTCGCAGATTTCTTACTCAATGTAAAGTAATAGTTATATACTTAGTAAATTTGGAGACTTAATTTACTTTGCATCTCTCTTTTTTTTTTTCTTTCTTCCCCCAACCAATATGAGTAATCCTGAAAAATTCGTCTTGCATAGATAAGAAAATCAAGGCATTTTTCTACTGACATTTAGAAGATTATATAACCTTTTTGAGAATGCTGATTGTATAATCAGTTGTATACCTTATCAGAAGAAATCTGTTTGAAAATGTAAGACCTACTATATTGCTCCCATTATAATTGGGCAAAGGCCTTGTATTTAACATATTTTGAAAGACACTGCCAAGTGAAGTTGATATCTAATAACCAGTTTATTTATAAACATTAAATGTGCTTCACTTAGCTTCTTTTTTTTTTGATGTTTTTCTCCTCCGTCCATATTTCTCTTACAGTTGTGTTGCTCAAGTGTGGTGTGAAATTGTTAATTACTGGAGAATTTATAAAGAAATGATTTATAAGTGCCCTAGAATTAGTTATACTTTAAAGTAAACATACGGGTTTTGTATACCTTGTACTTTGGGTCCATAAACTCTGCAATCTTTAAGATACATGTTCTTGCATCTTCTTTCAGCTGTTCATAAGTCAAAAATAAAACATTTGGGTCGTTTCTGTGTTCATACCAGGAGAGCAGTGTATCAAAATAGTCGCCACAATCGACTTCACCTTTCATGAAAAGCTCAAAGAAGTCATCAAAATTTCCGTCTTCAAATTTATACACAGGATTGCCTTTTGTGTGATGATAGAAAGAAACTAGACAATCCTAGAAAATTTTAACACCCAGGTTACTTAATTATCAATTATTTTACTTAAATAAAAGAAAAATGACACACCACTTTATTCCATGAAAAAATTAGTTTTATAGGGAATATCTAATTTTATTTAAAATAGAAAAATGATAAATGTAGTCTTGACCGAAAAAAGAAAACAGACCACCCTGAATAACTTCTATTCTAGTGATCGAATCTTCACGTTCTAGGACTCAGTTTTAATGGTTCAAGGGGGTGACCTTAAACATGCTAATTAATAAACGCAGACGATATTTTAAGTTTCAAGATTAGGCACAAAAACGTACTTTTTCTGAATAAACATACTTTTTTTCGACGCATTCGCATTTCTGACACTCGCACTCAGGCAAATATGCTCCCAATAGTTTGGTCAGGAGAGCGGTCCAAAGTTTGAGTTAATTTTATTTTTTGCCGTATATCGCCACATCTCGAGAATTTTTTAAACTCATTGAAAACTTTTTGTGCACAATTATAAAATTCCTTTATCCAAAGCTAATCCATGTAAAAAAATTTATTTTAGTAATATTTGTTATTATTTATTTAATAATATTAAAAAAAAGTTTAATTAAAAGGCACGCAAATTTCCATAATTTTAGAGAATGTAATTTTTAACTGACAAAATTTGATCATATTTAGCAAAATTTGGCATAATAGCTCCTGAGATATTGAATTTAAAAAATACCTTTTCTAATTTTTTTGCACATTTGTCTGCACTGATTATTTTGCATATTTGAGGTAGCATCCTTGGAACCATAAATATTGAGTTCTAGAATGTAAAAATCCGATCATTAGATCAAAAATTACTCATGGTTTTCCGTTTATTTTTCGCACATTACAGTGCGCAAAGTGAAAAATGGTACGCTTGCATATCTTTTGTTTTTATGATCGGATTTCTACGCACTAAGGTACAGCATTAATGGTTCGAGAAGTTGTTAATTAATTTATGCAGAAAATATTTTAGACACAAAAATGTACTTTCAAATGCATTAGAAACAATAAAATTTATTAACATATATAAATATCAAGAAGAAAGAATTGTTTATGTTCATAAGAGATGATTCGAAGAACAAACGACGGAAGAGCGCTGACAGAACCTGTTTTTCCGTAGCACGACTCATCTTTACTGTGTAATAACTCTCGGGGAGAACCGATTTTTCACGTTATTGTTAGTAATACTCAAAAACTAATGGCGATTCAATTGTCATTTTTGTGAAAAACGGACGTTAAATCGCGTTTGTTCCTTTGTCTTCACATATTCGTTTAATTTATATTCTTGATCCTCAAAATATAGAGGGTAGCCGCAATATGTAAGTTATGATAGCAATAGAGGTGAGCGGTCTGAAATTTGGTATAGTTAATTTAAATTCTATTTTTGCTTATTTTATCATATCTATAAAACCATTAAAGCTAATCAAAGAAATTTTGCCATTAGTCATAAAAATATTTGATCCAAAGATAGCTCCATGCCAAAAATAATTTTTTACGATTAATTTTTATATAATTTAGAAGGTCGAAGAAATTTTGAATTGTAAAATATGGAAATTTTTAGTACATTTTAAGATGTGTATTTTTGAAGTTAAAAATTTTACCAAGTTTGTCGAATATAGTTTCTGAGTAATAAAATTTTCGAATAGTTGAAATTTTAATTTTTATGAATTATAAGACCACTTCTGTTGAAATGTTGCATTTAAGCATCTTAAAGCATCGTTTAAAATCATGTAAAATGTCATGCTTTTTAATTTAAAATATTTTCGGCAAATATTAAATTAAGTACTGACAAACAATAAAAATAGCTTAAAAAGTATTTTTTACATAAAAAAAATAAAAGAGTTTTGATAAAAGAGTTTTTCGTAACTGTGCAAAAGTTTTGTATTGAATGCGTTTAAATTGTTTTAGAACTAGAACGAAATACATAAAAAAATGAGATTAAAATTAGAGAGTTACACTTCTATCACTCTTGACAAAACTACTCGGCCAAAACCGTAGCCAATTGAGCCAGATATAATATATATAACTGATCACGATTTACCCACGATGATGCCGCTTGTATGGATCCAATTACAGACAAATATATTTAGAAGCAAACGATAATTCTAAAATTATTAAAATGCAAACGATATTTTATTTTTATAAACAACTCAACTTAGATTTCGTGGTTCTGTACAAATTCTCTCTTGATAGTAATAAATCACTAGTTTTGAGTGGTGTTTTGGAACTACATTAAGCTTATTGATAAGCTGTATATAAAGAATTAACAAGCGGGAAATGAATGAAGAAAAAGGCTAAAACGTTGTCATTGAAATCATGCTATTTTTGAAAACAAACAATTTATCGTGAACTGAAGAAGTATAACCAAAAAATTAATTAGAATTCTGAAGGATAGATTATTTCGAATAACCAAAATAAAAATATGCAATTGGCAATCGTTCCCTCAATATCAATGGTGCTTAAGACTTAATATGGATAAGCAGGTAATTTAAGTTTTCTATTTCATTGTTTTATATTAAGTAGTAAGCGTTGCTCCCTTCTTGCAAATCTGATTAAAATATTTATTATTTTTTAAAAGCTTTGGTTGTCAAACACGCATTTTATCTTAACCTCACACATTTTGTCTTGACTTATATTTTATGATATTGTTAAGAAGTAAAAACAGTTATCAGTTAAATGTTTTTAATATAAAATAAAAGATGAGTAACATTGTTAAAACATATGTCATCTCGGAGCTACCCAAAAGGTTTTCCGCGGAGTCCTAGGTCTCGATAAAAGAGTTACAGGGGTTCTGAGATCTAAGATTTATTTTAATCAGTTATTTTTTTTGAAACCTGCAATTATATTCATGCCTAATCAATTTTCCTAAAATCTGATTAATTTATATATAATCAGTAAAATTTCTATCCAATTGATATTTAATATGTCTATTGTTTTTAAGAAATTATTGAAATAAAATGCCAATGGAAAAAAAATTCGAAATTTAAAATCTACATAATTATTATAATAAGAATAAATTGAATAAATTATAAAAAGAATGAGCATTTATAAAAAGTAGCGTTTTTAAAAGTTAGTTTTAAAGGAGTTTCCCATCGAACATTTCTATTCAAAATTTTCTCTTTTCGTCGAATTTAATTATTTCGTTTAACGATATATTTAATATGTCTATTATTTTTAAAAAATTATTGAAATAAAATGCCAATGAAAAAAATATTCTAAATTTAAAATCTGCATAATTATTATAATAAGAATACATTGAATAAATTATGAAAAGAATGAGCATTTATAAAAAGTTGCATTTTTAAAAGTTAGTTTTAAAAGAGTTTCCTATCGAACATTTCTATTCAAAGTTTTCTCTTTTCGCCGAACTTTTCGAGTCAAATTTTACCGATTCTCAACATTTATAACAGTTTTTTTTCGTTTTCTTTTTAACAAAACTATATTTCTGCCTCATTTTCAGCTTTTGCACTAAGCAAAATTTAATACAAAGCGAGACAAAATGCAATTTTAGCCCTATACCGATTCAACTATCTGAGATTAAATCGATTTTTTTTAAAAAAATATTTATAAAACGATGAAAAAGTTTCATTCTTCATATTAAATATATTCAGAATCATAATTATTAGTTGTTTTTCTTTGGTTAATATGTGCGCAATTGCTAATGGACTTTTATGAAGTTGGTGTTCCACTACAGGAAGGGTTGTTTATTTAGGGTTCCAGATCCGAAAAAATGGGAACCAGTGCTTTAATGTATTTAAAAAATGATCTAAATAGTATACCTTTGGATTTCTTGCTATATATATATATTTTGCATTAGAAGAATAAGGCGTCATATGAAAAGGTAGATGCATTTTAATAGCTCCTGGCCGCTTCATTGTTTTTGCAGCTTCTGCCCCTGTCATTTCCAAGAAAGGAGTATCCAGTAAGAATTCTAGTATAGTTTGAAATGGTTTCCCTTCACGTAAAATGCTCCCAATTATGTGTTGAATCCAAGTTGTTCCACATTTTGGGTAGGTCACTATGAACAGATCATCTGAACGAGGCTTGTAAGCTAGGGCTGACCTAAAAGCTTCTTCTGAAAATCCTCCAGGAATACGGAAACCATCAACATCTCTATAAAAAGGCGTTTTTGGTTTCGTCTTTTCACTTTCTTTACCAGGGGTCGCCATTATCTAAAATAGAAGGAAAAAAAGTATAAAATGATTTCAATAAGTGATTCCGATAGATGAAGTTAAGTAAGACGAGATTTGATGCGCTAGATTAGTCTCTGAATAATGCGTCATAGACTACCTGATAGCTCTAGTTACGTGATAATTTAAAAAAAAAACTCGGTACATCAAGGATGCTTCACACAATTCGGTTTATAAAAAATGAGCCACAATATTTACAAATGCCGTTACACGATATTTACAAAACCGTTCTACAATATTTACGAAACTGAGCCACAATATTTACAAAATCGTTCTACAATATTTACGAAACCAAGCCACAATATTTACAAAACCGTTCTACAATATTTACAAAACCATTAATATGCACATTACCTAGCTAATCAGCAGATTTACTTGGGCAATCCATTAAAGGGCGGAATCAAGAGTTTTTCTCATCTTACTTAGGTTTAATACCACCGACAAGAAACAATTGCAGCTCTTTTATTGAGGTTACGTTGAGATTCATATTGTATAAAGATTAGAAGCATAATTACGAGAACACATGTAAAAAGAAACTTGCTATTTAGATTAGCAACTGTTTCACAGTTTCTCTGCTCAACCAGTTTCACAGTGGTATAATGTTGAAAACAGAATGAGAAACCTCATCGAAAAATATAATTTAGACTTGAGCAAATGAATCAAAATGCTACCACTAGGCATTAATGTATATGTTACCGGCAAAGTTTGAAATTCGGCATTCTATAGAATCCTAAAACTAGCTGGTAATGTATGAAACGATTTATATTTCACACATTTCCTATGCATTCTATAGAATGCTAAATGAGAAACCGGAAAAAGTATAAAATACATCTCCGATTCGTCAAAATGTCATTTAAAAATGTCAAATTCAAAATGTCATTCAAGACTGCCATGTTGCAACAAGTAGGTAAATTTTTGATATGAAAATTTTGTTTCCCTTAATACGAAAGGCAGAAATTATGTTTTGTACAACTTTCATTTTTCTTTACGCATTTTGAATATTTTTTTTTAATGGCACTCTCATTGTTTTTTTCAGAATAACATTTTTATTTTTGAGAAATGCACTTAAATTACATAATAACCTCATCAGGACGTTTTTTTCATACTTGCCTAAATAGCATTGGTCATTCTATAGAATGCCTAGGTATTATACACAATGGCATACGTAGCTAATATGCAGATTAACTTGGGTAATTCATCAAAGTACGGAATCGAGAGTTTTCCGTAGTTTACCAAGGTAATGTGTGCCTTAACGGTTTCCGTATCGTTAAAGTTGAAAAGTTTGTTTTTCTCTTTCTTTCAGTTAACTTGTTGATTGTTTGATTGTATTTATTCAGTTGATTCTTTAGATATTGATTCATTGTATAGTTTTAAAGGGATTAATGATTGGCTCTATCAAATAATGTGCTGATTGTTTGATTGTTAGCAACTTGATTTTTTACAAAACGAAAAATAAATGAATAACATTATGCTTATTTATTCATACAGAAACGTTTCAGCAAGATCTTATTTTCACTTTAACAAATGCCAAGCAGATAAATGTGCAGATTATCTGGATAGTTTGTATATTTCTCAGGTAGTTTGAAAAATGAAACGTTTTTTTCGGCACTTTAATCTGCACTTTAGCTAAATCATCTGCAGAATAACTGTTTAAAAATAAAAAGTATTTTTAAAAAAAGGATTTACTCTACAGTAAGTAAACAAAATAAAAAGTATTTAAGTGCTTTGTTATGCCTTAAGTATTGCATTTTCAGTATTTTAAGCATTACTTGAAAATTTGTTATCAGAAAGTTTTCATCAGAAACTGCAGATTTTTTTTTCAAATCTTTAATGCTACCAAAAGTAATTAAGTTATAACTTTCCACCTATCGAATCTGTACGAGAAGTTAACTATCACAAATGAAGAACAGAGTAGACAAAGGTTCTACAGTCCATGGTCAAATCATTAGACGCACTAAGATCCCATATAAAATATTAATTATTAGGGGATACTACACAGCTTTATTGTTTTTACGTGACTGACACTGGTTTGCACTTGTTTACGTTCGTGTATCAATTGATTAAATTAGACGATATATAATATAAATTTGATGATTGGTTAAATTAGACGATATATAATACAAATTTGATGATTGGTTAAATTAGACGATATATTATTTAAATATAGAATATTTATTGTATCAAGCATTTTATTAGTATATCATAATAATTTGACCGAATTATTAGACGCACTGTAGTTTTTTTATAATTACATGTTTTGCACGAGTTTCTATGCAATACTTTTATATTTAAACATACATGTAATGGGTTTTTATTCATGGGATTTTTCATATATTTACTATTTGTATTTATTTGTAACGTATTGCATTACAATGTTAACTAATTGATGCACGAACGTAAACAAATACAAACCGGTTTCAGCTACGTAAAAACAATAAAGCTAAATAGTATCACCTGATAATTAAGAATTTACATCGAACACCTCTATGGGTGCGTCGAATAATTTGGCCAGGTAAGTGAAGGTTTAGTGGTACTGAGAGAAGAAACTTAAAAGTTTATGAGCTTCCGATTACTAAAACTTATAACTCTTTAATACTCATTTAAACTGTTCACATCATGGTGTTCTCACTTTTGGCGTTTTAATTTATTGCCTAAATAAAGACTTTGTAAGGCTACTTTTCCATTATTGGCTTCTAAACGCACCCTAAACCTTGTTCATTAGAGGGGAAGAAAAAAAAAGAAAAGAAAACGTTCAAAAATTGTCGTGTGCTTAATCATTGATTTAATAATAGACTTGGCAAAACAAATCATTATTGAATGATAAAATAAGATCTTTTCCCGAGATATTTAATTGTTTCAAAAGCATAAAGTTTTAAACCTTCCAATAAGCTTTTCAAATAGTCTCATGAAATACATATTTTCAAATTGAATTGCTCAATTAGTATCTAAAAACACGAAATTTAATAGAGAAACGAAATTTAACGTCATTAATCTGCTTTCTTAAAAGAGTGCATTAAGAGTGCATTTAAAAGAGTGCATTTGTGAGTACATTATTCATCGTCGCATTTAGGAACAATATAAGCAATAAAAATGAATTACTTAACTTACTTACACTATTACTTCAAATATCCTTCACTTACACTACTATTTCAAATTTCCTTGCTCAGTTAAATTCATAACCGCATAATGTTTCCTCCATAGAATGTAACGTAGTTAAATATCTCATCATGCAGTTTAATATTAACATAATTTTTTAAATTTCATCCTGTTAAAGGGTTTTGATAAAAAAGATAAAGTTTCTTTTTCGCTTATGTATTCTTCATAATAGTTTTGATTCATGATAAGGAAAGATTGTATCTAGTATCCTTTTTATAGATTTCGTTGTTTCCCGTACTTTTTTGCTGATCGTTCATTCTGTGAAATCTTTCCATGATCTTAACAAGATAATAAAAAATGTGTTAATTTAGTTTTAATTTCAGAAGGTTGTGTTAAAGTATGCCGAATGTGATAATTTAAACAGCAGTAATAAAATCACATTTTTAATTTCGTTGCTAAGCATTTTTCTTTCAGATCAAAATAAATATTTTCTCAAAAAGCACACTTCTTACCTACGTATCCTCTCTGTTCTGCTCCTCTTCTTAAAAATTACAATTGATTGTATAATTTTAAAAAAAATAGTACAAATTTTAAATTATTGAGCTTTTTGTGGGAAACATACTTAGTATTGATTCTTTTCACTATATTTTTACACCAAAATATCATATGATCAAATATCAAGAATACAATATATAGTATATATATCTTATTTATAGTATATAAACCTTATTTTTAGGTTAATTAATCCTCCTTTATTACACATTTTTTTACAGTGAGTTGTCTTTGAGAAGTATTAATCTTAGGTAATAAAGTTATTTTTAGAGCAACTCATGAGCATTTTGTACTTTTAAAATGTAAGAATATTTTAAGTGATAAGGATGAAAGTTTGAAAAATAAATGGTTTTAAATAAGTTGCATGCCATGTAAAAGATAAAGCCGCATTACCTTTTAAATAACAGTAAATTTATTTTATATGTATGGAAAATATCTATTTATTTAGAAAAGCAAAGTGAATTTTATGTTTAAAACTTATAAAAAAAAGTCGAAGTCGAGGCTCTGAAGACATTAAAATGTGATTTGTGATGAAAAAAATTCTTCTGGATGTTATTGTTCGCGAATAAATAACGTGTCTTCAATTAAATTTAGATTTCACAACGAGCATTCCCCCCTCCCTCAACCGATTTAATCAGAAATCAATTTGATACTCTCATAGGAGTAAAATAATATGAAAGATAAAAGCAGGAGATACTCTCGCTTCTGAAAGAATGCAGTTGAAAAAGGCATTTCGACGTCAAAATGTACAGAAAAATGCACTCAAAAGCGTAATGAAATAGTATAGCACTCTAGAAATATGAAATATTCGAAGCTTTTACCAAATAAAAAAGGTTTTGGGAATATTTTACTGCTGTATTGGCTGCAAAGAAGCAGACAATATTTAAAACATATCAATTTAAAGAAAAAAATGAAACACATACTATGCTTTTTATATTTCAGAAATTTGACATGAAAACGTAATTTTGATAAATAACTATGCATTTTTTTAAAGAAATTTTTATTTTTGATAATTAAAATCTGAGGGGTATCATTCTGTGAAATTAATATGTATATATATATAAGACTTACCCTGACCCGCCCCCGCAGGGGGCATCCAGAGGTACTGATAGCCCACTGATCATTGAACAATTGGTTAAATACAAAAACATGGTGCAAATCGAGAAAATTTTAGCAGGTCTTTGCAAATGAAAAATTAGTATTACATACTTTAAAATCAAGAATGATAACAAATGCAAATAAGTTCCTTAACAGAGCGGATTTTCAATAAAATAAAGAGCTGATGAAAAGATGTTCTGTTACGAAAGGAAATTAAAAAAATGTGATAATAGATGCAAAGAAGTCGCTTAACAAACGGATTTCCAATGAAACAAGGAACAATTTAAAAGACGTTACGTAACAGAAGGAAATGCAAAATTTGGCTGAAATAACAATACTTAAGTTAAGAAGAAGATCATGTCCTTGTGTTGTTTTGTTTGCTTTCGTACCGGCAGCATAAAAGAAAAGTGTTAGTTTCAATTTTTTTATTCATTTTTAAGTTTGTTAGCATATTTTTCAAAGTACGTTTTCCTTTTTTCGGCTCGTAAGTCTTTGAAAAGGAACTGATATATACTAATATTTAAACAGAAGTTTCATATTTTTATGATTTTATTTATTCATTTATGCATAGTTTATAATCTACATAATTTTTTTAGTGTTTTTATTGCCAAACTAAAAACTCGATTTTGATCATTAGGATAGTGCATACTCGATTTAAATTAGCCGCAAAATATGATAAAAAAAGTAAGTTTTTTTTTCTTCCATTTATTAATAATTCACCAATAAAAGGGCTCACTTCACCCATAAAATGGGAGGGATTTTGTGTTATACGTGGCTTTTGGAGTTAAATGGCGATAGTTAGGCCTAGTTCTTTAAAAATTTTTTGCTCGTCTCAGGAGTAGTATTGGATTGTAAAACAGCTGTTAACTCTAAGATTATAAATCCGTGCTGATCTTCCAAAAGTATATAATTTGATCGAGTTTCTTTTGCTATTTACACTTGAGTAATTTCAGTATTATAATCGATTGGGCAAGTTGATATCTAGATTCCTTCTATATTGAATGCACCATATCTGTAAATAAAAACCTCTATTTTCTTTCGATTATTTTGTGCTTCCGAGAATAGTTACCTAGAATAATACATTTTGGGTGGCAACTTTAGCTCACTTTCCCGTTATGTGTTGATCAATGATGAAGGCAGTAATCTTGACTCTGAATCCAAAATTGATATGGATAATGTTTGCTTTAACGTCACAGTATCGTGTTAAGATAAAAGAAACAACTTGAGCCAAGGGCAGTAAGGAACTATGGAACAATTCAATATGACGTTTTCCGTGACGTCAACTTGTCTCCATCCTTTGACAGGAACTAATATTGTGTTTAGTGTTGCTGCTCATTCTTTTACCAAACTGTATCATAAGTGGATGCTTGCTGATGCCAAAGAGGCATCAGCTTCTGATAAGGCCAAAGAGGAACATTATATTGGACAAGGTCAGGTCATCTGATATTGTTCGGTATAAGTCACATCAAATATGAAAAAAGATACTATTTTTAAACAAAATTTATAATAATTCTGATTGATATTGGTTTCAATGTTTCACTGTAGATAAATAGAATTAAAAGGAATGGTGTTAGTAATTACTATTAAATTATTAATAATCATGCAATTTTTCTGATTACAAAATTAAATTTAATTCTTTATTTTAGACTTTTATGCCTTTTGCTCAAAAATTATTTAAAAAACAAATAGATATTAACAAGTAAGTAAATTTTTGAGACATTTCATTTGTGTGTATATTTGATAACAAGAAGATTTATTATGCTCTAGAATAAAGTATTTGTTGATTTCTATTAGAGGGCATTGTGCTGCAATTTTTAAAAGTGCTAAATTAAACCATGGGATAGTATAATGAGTTTTAAGATGGAATAATTGCACTAGTTCAACATGGCGCCGTCTAGATAATATAATAGTTCAATATGCTCTAAAATTGGTAATACTCTAAAATGGCTCTAAAATTGGTAAAGTTGATTGTAATCAACTTTTTATTTGAAAAATGACCCTGTTCAAAAGCTGACTGGTGTTTTCAGCCCTCTATTTTTCCCATTGCATTAATTCCTTCAAAACTGCTAAAATTTGTTTAAACATTTTTGTCTATCTTTATCTAATTTTTAAATCTATTGTAAATTACTTACATTGCAAAGCATAAAAATATTACGACAGTTAAGTAATTAAATCAGGCTCTTTTCACGTAGTTCTTACGAAATAAAATTATAATAATAAAAAAAGTTTAGAAATAATTTCTGTTAAACTAATTGTTATTGTAATTGTGTTATTATAATTGTTATTGTAATTGTGTTATTAAAATTGTTATTATAATTGTTATTGTAATTGTGTTATTTGAATTGTTATTGTAATTGTGTTATTAAAATTGTTATTATAATTGTTATTGTAATTGTGTTATTTGCTTGTAAATTTAAAAAAAAATATTCAAAATATTTTTTATTATTTCGAAATTTCAAATCAATTGGGTATAATATGAAAAAAACACAACTACTTCGATTTAGTAGGAACAACATATGACGCAATGCTAAACGAATGGAATTTAGTTGTTGTTTATTTAGTTATNGTTAAAATTTGTTTAAACATTTTTGTCTATCTTTATCTAATTTTAATCTATTGTAAATTACTTACATTGCAAAGCATAAAAATATTTCGACAGTTAAGTAATTAAATCAGCCTCTTTTGACGTAGTTCTTACGAAATAAAATTATAATAATAAAAAAAGTTTAGAAATGATTTCTGTTAAACTAATTGTTATTGTAATTGTGTTATTATAACTGTTATTGTAATTGTGTTATTTGCTTGTAAATTTAAAAAAAAAAAGAAATTCGAAATATTTTTCATTATTTTGAAATTTCAAATCAATTATATTCTAATGAACACGTTTATGTTAGAGTAAAATATAACCTTAGCAACATTGAAATAAAAATAAGTACCTGCAATATTTATTACAGTTAGTCATAATAAATAATTTTTATCTATAATACATTACAATGCGAAAAAAAAGTAATCTATATATAAAACCAAAAGTAATGCTGAGAGTGCAATTTTATAAGTAACTGTCATTGGAAAAAACAATAATTCAAATAAAATACCTTTCATTTCCTTCCAGCGGAAAGTTGGAGTTAATTTGCTGTTGTCCGCATAAACTAAAACTAAAATATTTGAATATAATAATAATGAGTGAATTTAAAATAATATTTAATTTATTTCCCAAAGCTGCTCCAAGTCCCCATCTACTATGATAATAAGTAAGCTTATTTCTGGAGCTAAAATTATATTTTATTAGTTCCGTAGAATCTAGTAAATAGTTTTAGAAGTAGAAGAGTATATTTTGGCGAACCACATTTTATTGCTACCCGAAATGTTAGGAAACCAAGAGTTTCTGATATCTGGAAGTAACTCTAAGGTTACCTAGTGTTAAAGTATAGAATTTCAGCTGAGTTTCTGTTTTAGTTTGTAGAACTCTACCCAAGAAAAAAAAAAGAAATGAAAGCTAAAAGCGTGTACAGTTTCTTAGTCTCTATTAGGATTTATAAATTGATTTTTGGAAAGCGACTGAATTTTCCTTGATAAAGTAAACACAAGGTAGAATACAAAAATATATTAAAATAGCCCGAGGTACTCCATAAGAATGTATTTTGTGCCATGTTTCAAAACTTTTAAAAAGTAAAATTGTTTCAGAAAGAGGTTTTTATTATTGAATTTGATATATGGAATGTTGACGAAATATTGGGTAATGTCTCGAAAGTATTGGTTTTTTTCTTAAATCTAAATATCTTGGAGAAATAAATGTATTCTCTTAAAGCGTCTAAGAATCAAAGCAAATATGTGTTTTATCAAATTCGTTTGTGAGAAAAAATATTTTACTTGAGATCGAAATTTCCTAGTATTGATAGCTACTTACTGCGTTTCATTTAGATTACTAATGTATTATTATTTCATTAAAAAAAATTCTACATTAATTTATTTTTTTTTAAAATTTAAATAATATTTTCCTTCATTTATTCATATTTTGATAAGGTAAAGTAAAGTCAAAGCATAGCAATACAATTTCTGTTTAACATGTCTTATGGCAGTTTTGGTTCTTACTTTTAAATAATTATTAATTCGTTAATTGAATTGAAAATTGCGTTCTTGTAGTTAGTTCTACGAATTTTTCTCAAAATTATATTTGTTTTTAATTTGTTTTCAACAAGAAGCATGTGTGATACAGTATTCAATTTAAAAAGAAAATGTAATTTAATGTCTACTTACAGTATAATTGTTCAGTCAAGGCCCGTTTTTCAAGCTAAACCACAAAGTTCTTTAAATTTTTGTTATTTGTGCATAATTGTAACGTATTGGAGTATTAAGGGCAGGGTCCGTTTAAACACGCAGAATCGTCAAATCTACAGTCAAGCCGTTTTCTTTACTGTCATATACCATCAAATGAACGCTTGTCGTGGGCGTCATGAGAGAAAACTTTATTTTCCATCTTGAACTGATGATTATTTCATTAGTGGGCTCCGCTTCCTGCTTTCAACCTCTTAAGATTGCTTCACGATAGATTACTCGTTCCGCTCACTACTCTCCTTTTTCGCTATTCGCCTTCTGAAGCCTGATAAACTACATATTGTAAAAGTGCACTTTTAAAAAAGCCTTTTTTTAAAAGCTTATTCCACCCTTTTTCCTAATCGCCTTCTGAAGTCTGTTATAGACCCATTTGAAACGCGATTTAATATAAAATATTCATAACTTCGATCATCTATTAAAATATAAATATTTTGTTCTATTTTAGCACTGAAAATGAATGCGAATATAATAACAATAATTGGGAGAAAATAACAATAATTTTTGCATTTAAAATCAGCGATTATTAATTTCATCATGTCATCATGTATTTGCGTGTACAAGCTACAAGTACAAGTATAAGTATAGTACAAGCTTTCATGATTTAAATCCTAAGTTTTTGAAAAAGAAAAATACGAAAGCACATTGGGTTTTTTTCCGTTATAAACTTGTATAAAATGAAGTGAAACTGTAGAAGTAAAATACCGTATTTTTTATTAGTATCAAAACTCATTAACGACAATTTCACTTCCATCTAAACTCTTTCAAGTACTGAATATCCACGATGGCTCAATGGTTAAAGATGCAGAGCTGTCACTGCGAAGGACTATAGTTCGATTTTCAGTGGCGATTTGAAGCCCACTCAGCATCAAATCGATGGGTTCCAGCTAATATTTATTCCAATTTTTCAGTCTTGTTTAAGTAAAGAAAATAAATTGAATTAATCTGAAATTAATTAAAATATTGGAGAATATTATCTATTGATTAAAAATGCAAATAAATTTAGGAGGGGGAACTGATTGTTTAAAATATAAAGTGAAATTAAATTAAATTTGCCCCAAATGTTATTGTAACACGATATAAATATACATCATATTTAATTTTTTTTATTATTTTTTTTTATCGATTTGAAACTAAAAATGAATATACAGATGTCTAAGATGACGTCACTTGACATACTCACTTGGCTGAAAATTTATCAATGATTAATCAGTTACTAGCAACAACCAATTGGAATGCGTTTCATTTCAAAGTAAAATAGTGCAAACTACTGGTAACATCTACAAAGTTATAGTAATTGATTTAATGATAGCAGTCAACTGATCTAGTTCTCTGTTGTTAGCAAAAATCATAATCACAAAAAATTAAATTTTAAACACATTTTTAATTTTCCAAAAAGAAAACAACTTATTTTTCCATGATCTATATGAATTTATTCATTTTTCCTAATTATTATTCGCTTAGATGGAAGTACAAAGGGAAAAGGGAAAGAACTACATTTACGACTTTACAGGGTGTTAAGAATGAAGATTTATTTGAAACGCTTGCGCCTAACTTTCTTTTGACATAATAAATCCTCACCTTTATCACGCGCCAGCAGCTTGTTAAATTTTCACACCCTCAGCTAGACTATAGTTTCCAAAAAGATCTTAAACAAAGACGACACTATAATCTTTCTATCTTTTAGAACAAGAAGTCTTCTAGATCGTTTCTTTCAAATTGAAAAAGAGAAATATTAGATAGTTAAAACTAAACACTAATATTTTTAAATATTATTTTATCATATGCATACAGGATATTCAGTAATAATAGCTATTAGTTTATAGAATCATCGTCACAAATGGAGTCAAAGAAGTAGACACAGTATTGATTTTTTGTTCTTGTTTAATCAAGACAGCTTTTAGTTTATATTTCTGGAATGTTGTTGTTGTCGTATGCCATTAAGGCATTGTGCGTGCGATTGCTCTTGCTTTCCAGTGGCGCCACCTGTGGCCAAGAATTCAACTTATGCCACACACATACGTCACACCTGTTGATAGGGTGGGCCCATTCATTCATCCATAGATCGTTATTTTGACCTGAACCAGATATGGATCAATTTCCTGTCAAGAACCCCCACAGATAAAATTTGTCATGGGAACATAGAGGAATCTGCGACCCGACAGTTTCAACGTGCACCAGTCACCATTTACTACACGCAGAGTTTTCGGCCGGCTGGATTCAAAATTCTTACGAATATGACTACAGCACCCTACCAACTAGGCAATTCCGGCTCCAGATTTCTAGAACCATTATCACAAATAAAGTGAGTCAAAGACATATACACCCTATCGAAATCTGCCCATCCCCTGTTTCGCTTAGGGCTGGCACCTGATCCCTTTTGTTCTCTGTGCAAGAGCCAAGCTGTTTTGGATGGCGGCCACATCCTGTGCTGCAGGGCCTTCCGCGGGTCGTCGTCTACCGAGCGATATTGGGAGGCAAGAGCGCTCCTGAGGAAAAGACTTTTTACTTTCTTGTTTTGTTCCTGTGTTTTTGCTTCTTAACATGTCAATTCACCGCTACCATTTGAAATAAATAAATCTGTCCATCCACTCTTAAGAATAGAGGGGGAAAATATCAAAACCAATCTGATTTCTTGGTGGCACTTAGATGAGTTTCTATGAAAAATATTCTAACTTATCTCTATTTCATTCAGCAAAGAAACATGTTTTGATGTGATACGTTTTCACAGTAATGATTCGCCAGGTTTTGATAACGTTTTTTTTCTTTACTTGGAGCATTATTGGATGACTTGATGCATATTTTTTATTTGCTTTCTTTTTATTAGAATTCCGTAAAATATAGCAAAGATGGTCATAATTCAGAGAACACCCTATACATTTAGGTAATATATTATGCATATTTAAATTTGTAAGTCAATTATGCCGGCCATTTAAAAATAAAGTTGCCCGATGATTACTAAGTTTTGCAATGCGTGATTTACTTCTGGAAAGTTTTATTTCAATAGGAGCTATCCAATAACCGCATGAACTAAACTGCCTATTAGACTAAAATAATTTTAATTCGATATAACTAATAATAAATTCATAATTTGGATTAAAGAGTAAGCATTAAAAATACATTTTATGCTCAAGTTATAATGATAACAAACAGTATATTTTTAATCTGTATATTTATTATTTTCTGCGGTAACTTTTTTGAAGGAATATGAATACGAAATTACCTTTAACTTGTGAAATTAATAAATGAAAAGTTTTGAAATACAAAATTAAATATAGAGACAAGTACTTATTTCATTAAATATCAAATTTTAAAATATAGAGTAAAATAAAAAGAGTAATATTCATAAATATAGAATTTCAAAGTACAAAATAAATATAGAGGTAAGTATTTATTTAAATAAATATTATAGTATTAAAGTATTGAGAGAAGTTTTAATGTAGAACAGAATTGAATACAGAGAGAAATATTTATTTTATTAAATACAGAGTTTCAAAGCATGGAGTGAAATATAGAGAAGGGTATTATTATATATATATAGAATTTTCTTGCTGACTTCCAAGTTTTAATACTATTTTGAAGATAATACTTTAATACTTTTCGTCGTTCCCAAAATTGATCAATTTATTTTATTATTGTTAAATATTTAAAATTACATATTTACATATATACAAAAGGAAAAATAGAAAGAAAGGGTGAATGCATTATCAGCACATCATGCTTAGCATATGGTTTTATTACGTATAATTTTTAGACAGTTAAGTTGTAAGATTAGTTAACATATTGTAAATTAGAAATTTGGGTGGAGTGTTTTACCTACTCGAACAAAGCATATACATACAAAAATTTTAAATGCAGTTTGCATCCATAAATATAACATAGAATTGATTTCATCACAAGTTCAACATACCAAACTGAATTAAGATGAAAAAAGGCCTAAAAATTTGATATTATATGACGTTGATACAATTTGATTACATTTCGAGCGGAAATGCAACAAGGTTAAAGCAATTAGGGAGTGGAATATTGACTCACGTGTCATGCAGTGTCATCACAGTCATTGCTTTAATTTAGTATAAATTCATTGTTATAAAACTTTTAAATGCTAAATTTGCAGTTCCTTGAAATTTCTAAAATGCTAAGTACGCAGATATTTTCCATGCTTTTTACAAATTTTGTGCACAAATATTGATTTCAAATACCGATTACCAATTACCGATTTTTTTTCCTTCTAGAAAATAAACTGTGAATTTTTATTATCGTTTCCTTTATCTCACCGTTTCTGTATGTTCTTTGCTTATCGAAAAAGTTTCAATAAGCTCGATTATTGGCTTTCAACACCCTTTTGAGATGCCTTATCTCTTAAGTAAAAATATTAGATCTGTTAAAGTAAATATATTTTTCATTAAATTTAATAAAGATATCGATATTTTCTTCGTGCAGTTTTCATGATCATTTTCTTTTTTATTTCTTTTTAAAACAAACAATAAAATTTAATTGAGTAATAGAAACATTATTCTGAATACAAAAGTTTTTTTTTTAAAGTTTTGAGGAAAGGTGTTACATCAATTTATAAAAATTAACTTAGTTTTTATATTCCAAAATTCGATTTTTTTAATACTTTAAGTTAGTATGGATTATTTTTAACGGACTAAATATATTTTCGGGGTGGTAGTTTCAACATGTCATTTTCAGAACATAGATTGTAGAAGATAGTTTTAATTCGTGGCTCGTTAAATAATTAGGATTTTGCTTTTAAGATCTTTAATTAAAAAAGCTAATTTATAACATAATATAATCAAAAAACATTTTACGATAAAAAAATTTATGTATAAATATTTATTACTTATTAAAATGTATGTTTATTTTTATGTAAGTTTATTTTTTTTTAAAGATATAAATTACGTTTCAGTTTTTACGATGTATATTTACAGTATATTTGAAAGTCAATTTATTCTTTAATAAATATCATATGCATATGTAATGCCGTACTTCTTGCATGCATAACTTTTCAATTTTATTAAAAATGCAAAAATTTTAAAACTTGAAAATGAATAAAAATTTTTGAAAACATTGTTTTACGCAAAAAAAAAAAAAAAAANTGAATTTACTTTTCAGTTTTGTATTTCCTACTAATTATGTGCTAATAAGAAGTATATTTTTGAAAACCAAAATTTCCTGTAAATCATTACCATA